ACTCGAACAATATGAACCGTTTGATGGAATTACTGAATAGCAATACTGAGTAATAATTTCTATCATTTTGTTCTGTGGTGGCGAGGTTATTTAGTTTTAAGCTATATCGAACTATATACTACTTTAACCAAAGTAAAATTCGATTTTTATTCTTTGATGAGAGCAAATCTAAAAATGGAATTAAAGTAAATTTTAATTTTTAAAATAAATTCTATGGAATTTTTAAAACGTTCATTTGGCACAAACTGCACAAATGATGTTTATTTTTAAAAATCCAGCATGAAATTCACTTTAGGTAGCTGATTTGGTTTTTCCATTTGTCTATTTATTCACCTTATAAAACAAATGGCTGAGATTATGATCACGAATTCTCTTTCTTGTTGTTCGGTAGATAGATTTTTGCACTGTCTGCATTTCGCACAACAGTAATCTTTTACAACTAGTACCATTCGGCTGCCTCTTAAGAATAATGGCCTCTTATTCATGGCCCAAATAGCACGGTGCTTATTTAAATTGTTAGTGTTTGGAGTATTTACAATTTTATTGACATAATGGTGGGAAATACAGTGGGTATATGCTGGGCGAAATTCGTTAACAAATTATTATCATGCTATAATGGAAAGTTTTTTTTCATGAATGATTTTTCAACTGATTTAGATCATTTATGCGAAATTCTCCCAGTAATATTTAGATTTGCCCAGCATAAATTTATTTCGATATTTCAAAATTTAAAGTTGAAGCATAATTTTATTAATAGCAATAATTGGAAGTAAAAAACTAATCTTTTTTAACTTATAATTTAATTTATAATTATTTTCCACATTATTCATTTGTGAAATTATGAAATTCTTTGACATAAATATTGTTTTTATGTCTTTTCCTATACTCTATGTCTTAACCTAAAAAATTTCTAGAATCCTCACCAAAATCCGTAATATTTCAGTATTTCTGGTTTAACTGGTTTCATTCACTATACGAATGATTCTTTTGTTAAAGAGTCACTTAATAGTCAAACAGAAACAGAAATGAGCCGTTAGTACGACTCGGTGATGACAAGCTAATTGGAAAACTTTATTTAAAGGAACGGTTTCTTTTTATTTCCACTAATTTATATTATAATCATTGGCGCCAGCAATAAATTATTGTTAAAGAGAAAAAAGTCTAATTTCGTCAAAAATAGTTAAAAATATCGGCAAAAAGCCCCATAAACAAAATAATTGATGAGCATATTTATGGCTTTTCCTTGAGAATAATACCATAGTTTCTTCCAAATCCTTTTTTCCTTAATTCCATGGTTTTTGTTAGGATAGTCGAGTGGATAGTGGAAAGGGTTAAGGGACAAGGATTTTTTAGTTCCTGCCTTCGACAAGGATCAATCCGTCATTAAAAATCCTGATTCTGGCTGCTCACACGTTTTTCTATGGCCAAGTGATTCCCAAGTAAACATTTCTAAGATTTCATTACTAACAGCCAAATGAGCTAGCACAACCAGGAATAATGAACACTAAGCGGTGAATTAATTGCTTGCTTATTCGGTTTTTGTCATTTTCTAACGTAATGCCATTTTTCACAAAGACTTGACTGTGAAGATGGGAATCGTGACGGAATGAATAAATTTCAATGGTTTGTTGGGCAAATTGAGGTTCATTAGATGTTTTTACATAAATATTTATTTCCTTGTGATACTCCCTCATCAAATATTTGCCTAATTCATGTGACAACAATTCAAACTCAACAGCGAATCGATTCCTTCAATTATATATTTTTATGTTCTTACTTTTTAAAGTTTTTTACTTTGGTTTTGCTTATTTTCTATTTCACTGCTTAAAATTGCTCACATTTTGTACATTCCGTGAATTTTCTTCATATTTTGAAAAATTAAAAATCATTGACCTTTTTTAGCAAAAAAAACAATTGAACTGCCTGTGTCATTTCTTAACCAAAATTCATTTTTGCTGTAATTTTTTTGAATTTTTTTTATTTTTATGATGAACATTGATATCCCTCACTCCATCGTTAAGATAAAGGACGAACCATATAATAGTCGAAGCAGTCAACATACCGCTCGGCTTTTTGTCATAAATCCCTTCGAATTGTGTTTATCGGCATTCTGTTCTGTTCATTTTTATTGATCTGGCACTATTGAATCATGAATCCTTGGAAGAGTAACATAAACTAAAAGGCTAACATCGTTCTTAGATTCACAGACCATGTATGGATTTTTTTCTTCATGATGAGCATCCAGCATTTTATTTTATTTTAAAATGTTTTCGCTATGAAAAAATTTGTTTTTTTATTCTTATTACATTGGTTTAGAATAAATATACGGATTCACTGGATAAAAACGAAAAGTTGGGTGCATTCGGTGAAATGGAATTAAAGAGGGATGGAATAAATACTCCAAACAAATGTCGAAATCCACAGTCATTACTAAAGAACGGATCACATATGTAAATTTATTGTAATAATAATTATAATATGAAATATGTAATAAATATTGTAATAAATAACCATAATATGAAATAATTATCCTTCGTCTTCCAATGGCTTTTGGCTTCCAGCTAGCTGATTGTTAGGATGAGCGCGTTTTCATCACTTGAGGATAGATCTCTAGCACTAATCAGATTTTATATGAAGCAGCAGCAGAAGCATTCTCATAGGTTTTTAAAACCCTTTCTTAACTTTTTAAACTAAATCGAATTATGGAACCAAATTTAGATTCTTTGAAAGTTAAAGCTATAAAATATGATCTGATAGTTATAAAACAGCGTTTCAGTATGTAGTCTTTGACTGCAACAAATATTTTTTATGATTTTAGACTAAATTCTAATGTAATTCGAAGCAGTTAGTTAAAATAACTTCAATCAATCTATTTGCAAAGATTTATAACTTTTTTGTGCGTTTGATAAATTGGTGGAATAAATTGCCCAGGAATGTGGTACTAGTTCCATCTGTAACCAGCTATATGAAGTTATTTATTTATGACATAATTTAGGTCTTTATAAATAAATAAAGCAGCCTAAGGCTATTTAGATTTTCGATTTCGAAAGGAGAAAAAGGTGCTACGTCGTCGGCATTTCATATTTTCATTTGTGAATTCATTTTATTTTAATTCATTTCATTAAGGATGCGAATGGATGCTGTAGACCATAGCATAGATTCAGAAGTGATGCATCATACTACTGATTGTGTACGCTCTGATGTATTAACTAATGAACGGTATCCTGTCGTTTATAAGAATACAACAATAAAATATGATGGTAACTTTTGTTCCTCATTTTGTATATTTTTGTGGTGAAAGAGCTTTTCCCTTTTTTCTAATTTTTTGTTAAAATTTGATTTGCGATTAGCTTTATCATTATATTGGTGTCATTCATTTGACTGGTGGTTTTTACTGCTAGAATGAGGTCCTTTTATAAGAGAGTCGCTCGAAAATAAAAGTACGTCGACGTCATGCTCGATCAGCCATTTTTATCTGAAAAAGGTGTAAAAATGAGATGAATTGTCCTTTTTGAAATATTTAAAAGAGTATATTTAAGAGTAAGAGTATAAGAATATGTATTTAAAGTAAAGTATTTGATTTCTGAATTTTTCACCTATTTCTTTTATTTATAAAGAAAGATATTCGTTGGATTATATATATATATATATTCTTTATTTACCAGTGTAAAACGAAAATAAAATTTGGTGTCGTCGACCGCTACGCCCATCGAACTCTGTTCGAAAGATTTTGTTGAGAATATACTAAATATCAGAATTATTCCTTATATTAATTTGTCAAATTATTTATCTTAAAAGTCTTTATAATTCATATAAATTTTATTTTCTCTGCAGAAATAAAATTTTATATACAAAAGTACAAAATAGTTTTTATTTTTACCTAAAAATTTCTTGAGAAAGTTTTTCGATGCGAAATATTTCTATTTTCAAAGAAATGGCCTAATGGCTTATGGCTGTTTACCATAATTTTGGTTTGGCTTGGTCCATTGGCCAATAGAATGATGGGACAGTTGGCAGTTTTATTGTCGTTTCGAGTATCTATCTTGAGTGTGAAGAGCAAAAAATCCTGATTCACGTATTTATATATACCTCGCTATGTGGCAATTTTTCATCCTAGCCGGTTGAAGTTACCTAATCAGAATTGATAAGTTGTAATCACAATTGGCTACTGGGATAAGATTCCTTCGTCACAGAGGATAGAATCGCAATCGGGTGTCCAGCAAACTCGAATTTCACTTGTAATAGAGATCTGCTCTATTAAGGATCATGAATCGAATCCATGATATTTGAGTCGAAGCAGCACACTACTCTACCACCATGTTGATTAAAAATGTCACAAATTCAATTCACTAATTTTCTTTTCTACTCCAAGAAATACGAGAACCTAGAGATGTGTCACTGCTCAAATATGACAAAATAAGTATGTAAATTTAATGATAACCTAAATTTTGATTCTTTCATGTATGAATGAATGAATGTTTCTGCATTGATCAGAATCGAAAAGTGCATATTGCTTCAGTTTTTTTTTGCAGTTTTTGTCTGAAAACTCGAATTTTTGATCTTCGATTATTATTATTTTTATTTTATGGTTCATCTTTTTACACACTGAAGTGACAAACAGTTTGATGACAAACTCTCTTCTTTTGAAGAAAGTTTCCCTTATGGAATTTGCCTTCATTTTATTTCTCTTCCACTATAAGTGTTTGTTATAATGAACACTAGAAAGTTTCGTTTTTCGTGAATTGGTCACGTATATTATGTTGAAGTTCCAGAAAAAGGACAGCTCCATATCCATTAATCGATTAATGAATAGTGAATAGCTTCACTAATCTATTATCAAATAACGTTTTACAGATGTAACTGTTGAATTTCTATCTTTAATTTATTCTAAGAAGTCCGCCCCAAATAATCATTGGTGCCAGCCAAACCACGAATACCGATCGAAATTCGAAGAAGTAACACATACTGTTTATTTGTGTCATTATTATGAAATCAGGTAGATGAATTCAGGTAGTAATAGATCGATGAAGAAGTCATACGAGCGACTCGCCGAAATATATTCGAACTCTGGTGACACGGTTGAATTCGCGCACAATTTCGAAAAGTATATCAATACCATTATATCGCCATGTATGTTGCCAATCATTTTTTTCCCATCTTAAATTTAAACATTTGAAACGATCCAAAAAAAGAAAAACGTGAATTTTCAATAACGAGAGGAAACCGGTAAATTGTTGTGAATAATTTAAAATTATTATTATGATTCAGTGAATTTTTTGGAATTAAACAAACAATTTATTTTGGTAAATAAAATAAATAATCGATTTAAAGTTTTAAGAAAAGATTTTTAAAATAAAAGAGTACTTCTTGGAAGTACGGTACGATCATTTATGGATGGGAGTAGAGATAGGTCGCCAGCACGGAAGCTGATTGTTTTGTTGAAAAACTGATGGTGTACTTGAAAGTGTTTCCAAGTATTTTCGAGTTGTCCTGGTTTCTATCCTGGTTGTAGTAATAAATGTCGAATCCTCATGTTTGCCTCATTGCCTCATTTATGACTGCCTCATTTATGAATATTGCTGATTGATCAGAATAATTAACACTCATCTCGTCCATGAAGATAAAATCAGTAAAATTTTGCGCTGTAGTCATTTTTGGTTTTTTAAAGGCAAGAAAATGTTTCGCTAACACTTTTTATTCAATGAATTAGCAGGTAACAAGCAAAATTTGTAGTGATTTTTTGAATCGCTGAAAAAGAGAAATAATTTTTAAATCGTGGTCCAACAACTCTTAATTACTTAAGTTTAAGGCATCGAATTTTCTTGAAAGAAAATCTCTTGATCCTTAGGCGAATAGGCTAGTTTCACCATTCAAATTTTGCAGGTTTTGCTGGTAACTTAACCTGCAAAAATATGAGAGAGTCAAGTTTTCAAGCGTAGTTTTGCCAGAAGGTAATTGGTATTGTTGAGGCTTTCAAAATGTTTTGCATCGGGAAGCATATGCCATTCTTGACTTTCAGCACAAAACAAAGCGAGTTCTGTTCACGTCGAAAAAACCTTTGCAATGTAAAATCGTTAGGCTATCAAACTTCAGTAAAATGGAAACCGAGGATGATGCTAGAAATTGGATATTAGTGGCGCTTTAAGCTGCGCAATCTGATGCCATCGTCGACAGTAATAGAAGCCATTCTTTTTTCCACCGTCTAGATCCATATATTGCTGGTCCACCCACAGTTCAAAATCTTTTGTGACCGTATCATTCCAGGTCTTGATTGGCCCAACTCGCTTTTGACGCCACCCATTACAGGGTGTAGCAAATAACGAAATATGCTTCAACTCCTTGTGGTGCACGACGGAGAACGTGCCCTAGCCACCGAAGGCGACGCTCTGTGATAACATTATTAATGCAGGTGGTGAATGAAGGTGATTGCGATCTTATGATATTTTATCCACTCGATGGAGCTGTAAAGTGTACCTTAGAGAAGAGTGGTCAAAGGTAAATAGCTTCTTAATATCCTCCACTCTCATTGGCCATGTGTCAGAGCCATATAGCAAGATCGAACGAATCACGGCTATATAATAGATGCGGACTTTCGTTTTTATGGTGATTTCACGACTTCTCCATAAAAGTCTCGTCAGCCCAAAGAATGCATTTCTAGCTGCCATGATCTGGGTAATATCGTCTTTCGTTTGGCCATTTGGTATTAAAGAGTACCTAAAATATTTAAAATCAGGCATTTCCTCACCGGCATTGAATTTATAAAGGCCTACTCGGAAATGGTAAATAGTATTACGTATAAATATTAAAAAATATCAGAAACAATATTCCAAATCCTTAATATATGATAAATGCTTGACTTTTCTCTTAACATTTCTATGTTGAGTTAAATAATAGTTTGATTTGATATACTTCGAACATTGACATTTGAGGGAAATTGATAAAAAATAATTAAATCTAATAATAATAAAATGATTGCCTTACATTTTTCAAAATTTTTGATCATCGACTGTAACTTTGTGGCCAAAAGGTCATCAGTCCTAGCTAGCACCATTCAGATTTTTTTTTATTCACTATTATCGTTTTACTCCGGTTAAGCGAGACGTATCGAGCAAGATTGCTTGACTTTAGTCGAAGCAGTATACCTGCACCACCTTCTCCCATTTTCTCAGTTATTCTTTCATCAAATGTTTTCGTGGCTTTTATTATTTGATTTCATAAAGTTCTTCATTTATGGAACCGTTTTTATATTTTTGTTTTTCAGATGTTTGGATTATTCTTTTGGTTGTTGTTGCATTTTGGTCGCTTTTTTTGATACTTATTGGTAAATATTTTTTTCTTTGAATATCTGAATTTCATCTATAAATTACTCATTGATATTCGACATGGATATTCCAATTTTTTGAATATTTAGATAAACATCGTTAAAGTATTTTGCCTTTTCTTTCGCATATTTCACAATTCTTTTATTACTTCTTATAGTAGTAGTACCACTTTTGATTTGGCTGGCTGCGTTGAGGGCAAATTTCTTTCACTAGAGAATTTTTACAAGTGAAACTACCAGAACTTTTAATAATAACTTTGCTCAAGAACCTGGAATCAGACCTATGATTTTAATCATGATCAAAGATTTACTCGATCACTCGATCACAGTGCTCAATTTACCATAATAATTACCTCTCATTTTTTGCAGGTTCATTTAATGTACCGTTCTGCTCTGTTCAACCGATGATTCCTGTGTACTTAATTGTCGATGGTTGTTTACATGTGCTTTTTGCTGCTATAAAAATTTATAATATATGGCCTCTTCCCAAGTCGACAAATAGACCAAATTTAAGTATTCAAGTTGCATGCAAAGCAACTGAGATCGTAATATGTGTTGCAATTATGATTTGGCTTATATTAGGTAAGGTTGCAATATTATTTGGCATACTTTTGTATTTTCATTTTCTGTACTACTTTATTAGCGCAAACTGCGAATTGAATCGACTTCATTACCTGTCTCTACTTGTTTTGCATAATAATATTATAAGGATCATGCCAGAATAACAGAGAAAATTGGTCGTCACGGTGGTTCACAATATCTATTAGAAATTACGATCATCAATGTTCATATAATCATAATAGTTTCAGTAATTATTGATATAATTATATTACTTACAAATGATTATCATACACTTTTTCCATTGTGCAGTTTTACTCCACATTGTGAATTCTTAATTATGAATATTCTTTGATGAAGGGATCAATCAAAGCTTATTTAATAAACTGATAAAAGCGAACAGACTATCTGAATGGTTAACTAACGATTTAGATCACCGTGTTGAAGTACAGGAGTTCTGGTTCTTGTGATAGGAATAAGCCTGCCATTAAAAAAATTCGAAAGATCTTGCCTCAAGTGACTCTGTCACAAAAATTTTTAATCGTAATGACAGTCAGCTCGGCTAGATTAGCCAGTAATGATGAGCAATAATTATTTAATAATTAAAAAAATTAGAAAATTATGGAATATAAATTTTCGTTCTAATTTTCTATGAAGATTGAAGCTTCAACTCTTAACAATGGGTTCTTGAACAATTCTTCCTTTCAAAATTCGAGATAAACGGAGCAAAAACATGAAATTATAGAAAATTAGCAGAAGCAATTTTTGCTAATACAATGAACGTTTATCTCATTAAATAACTTACCTGACCTTGTAGTGTAATTAATTATTATAGAGCTCATCACATGATTATTAAATTAAACCAATACTACTACAAAATTAACTTTGACTTCAAAATTCACTGAGACATATTCCATCAACTTTTCTTTTTCCCAGCTATATTGGAATAATCCAGTACATTTCTTACGAATTATATGAATAATTACAAATACTTAGATAATTATGATAAAAAATTGTTTAGGATGTATATGGATTTATGGTGCAAAACAATATGTCCACTTCGAGGAGGGCATGTTTGAACGACATTTTTGTGATACAGCAACATATTGGATTGCATTTATTTCGGTGACATTACATATCGCATCAGTCGCTATATTTGTCGTTGTATTTATAATTATCTTGGCGTTAGGAATTTGGAAAGAAACCGATTCGGCAAATAACAATGTGCGAACATAATATTATAAGAATCTCGCCGATAATGCAAAAAAATTAAAAAATTTCGAAATAATTTGGTATTAATATTGTAGACGTAAATTTGCACAGATGTACTGCTAAAAGCTTTGGTTGATGGCTTTATTGTTTCATTAGAATATTTGAGAATTTCTGAGTAGATGAATGGGATCAGATTATTCCGCTTGTTGACCTAAATTCTCCGTAAATTTTGATATTTTTAGTTGAGGGTTATTGTCTGTACAGTCACTTCATTTTCCATTCTTTATCTGTATGTCCGACATTAATAATGGTAGCTATTTTTCACTAACTTTTCATCATTATGTAAATATTCATCAAATTGTTCTATTTTTTTATCAAAAAAGTGGATAGTCATCATATGATTTATAAAATTCCTTATTATTTAACTATAATTTACTTAATGTAAGTATATAATGGGTGATTTAATTACACTCAGTAGTCCGTAAAATTGCATAAATATTTTATGTAAATTTGCTAATAATTTTTTTTTCGGAACCATTTAATGAATCGTTTATATCATTTTTGTTCATTCATTATGTATAATAAAATAAAATATTTTAGTAAAAGTAAAAAAATAAAAAAGAGAAATTATTTTTTGTGATAATTCTGCAATATTCGCCACAGTCGTTGTAATCTTAGTAGTTGGCAGTCATTTCTGGTTTGGTTGGCTATTACGTTGTTGATGGATACATTCGCCATGTACTAATTTTGCGAAGTGCAGATGGCTCCCAAGAAACAGTAATAATGAAATAACAGTGTAGTAGAAGTAATATTTGTATTTTCACGTTTTTATATTTACTTGAAATATTTACTTTGCTAAAAGAGTACTTAAATTAAAGGAAATGTTTCTATGGAAGAGTAGCGGACATTAATATAGTGAAAGTATTATTATATCCAGTATTTGATTTGTTAAAAATGGTGTCAATGGATGTTGCATTCGCAGTGGATTTGTGTCTTTTTCTTTAACAATCATGGAAACGTGCTAAATGAACTGGCGCGTGAACCATAAAAGATTTTTAAGGAAAGGAAACAATAAACTCTTTTCCTGGCAAACTTTCCTGGCGAGTGAAAACCTCGATTTTTAGGAGCACTGTGACCTTAAAATAACTCTAAAATTTTTAACCAAAAATCAATGATTCCTAATCACCGTAGAATCGATTGCCCAACCGAGTTAATAATGTACATCGTAATCGCATCAACATTGTTGTTATGGTGATATTCCAATCAGAACGCCTTTGTTCATTGTTCTCGATTTAGTTAGAATAAGTTAGAATAGTCAAATCTTGAGCTTTTTCATTCAAATCTATTTTATCTAATCCTCCACGCTGATCAGATCGTATCAATCAATTCCATTGTATTTTCGCTTTTCGAGCATTTTTCAACACTTTTTATTCGATTCTATTTGCCTGGCTTGAATTACTCGATTATCTATATGCTTAGATTAACGAATAATTTTGTCTTTGCATATTTAATACAAACTTCGCTTGCATACACTCAGCCTGAATGTCATACGATTTCTGTCATTCTTGGTACATTATTTATTAGCTTCTTAGCTTTTACATTATTGTTATCTATGTTATATTGTGCTTATTTTAAGTCAGTCTATGATTCGTACGAAGAAATGGAACAGAATAAAGGTTAGCATGAAATTTTGATAAATTGCGAGAAAAATTACCATCGCTATGCCATTTTCTAAAATGCTTTCAAATGAGAACTTCTAAATTTTTACAATACAATATTTTGAAAACAGACTTTTCCAACATAAATTGTTCAAAGAAATGGACAATTTTTTAACTAAATTGATAATTGGTATTTCATATTGGATATATCTTTAAATAAATCTGTTGATTAATCTGTTTATTAATCTATTCATTAAATTATAAATTAATTTCTCTCTTGTGAAAGAGAGTCTTACACAAATTTTTTTTTTCCCGCACTGGTAAAAATTCATTTAGCTCAGAAGGATGGCCTCCATTCAGAGAATGAACATAAATACTTTGAGAACTATTATTTTCAGGTATTTCTTCAGAGAAATAAATCAAATATTTTAAAAATTTTATCCAATTTCTAATATTCAAGCCAAAAAAAATTTTGAAAACAAGTAGCTAGATTTAATGCTTTTTAATTTCATTCCGTAGGACATTCCTCTACGACTATCAAGATTTATGGGTTAAAAAGTCGCTTTGGTACCTATTAAATCCATAAAGGTGTGGAAATTTGGACTTCTTAATTGCAAATCCAATCTGGTCTCTCTCCTCTTAATAAGCCTAAATGTTAAGGATTATTAAGGACTAATAACAATATAAATATTCTATAAAATCTGTTTCTTAATCTTAAATTTTTGAAGCATTGTAAAAGGATTTTAAAAGGATTTTATTTAATCAAACTTTCCAGTTGCTAGTTTTGCTTTCAAGGTAATTTCTTTATGTTCAAAAAATTTGAACCAAATACATAAAAAAAAGTTATGCAATAAACCAAAAATTAAAAAATAAAGAAAATTATCAAAATTTTAATAATGGGAAACTTTCATTTTTATAGTATTGCCCATCCGTTCGACAACGGAATATTTCTCTTTACGACGTTCAGACATTACACCAACCTTCCAGTAACGAAACTTATTCGCCAGAAGCAACTAGAAACTTGGAGCCGATAATTAATACTCTCATGGAAAAACAGGTCGATGGTACGCTTTAATAAATTCACGTAAAGAAGTTAGTTTTAGAAGGGATGAAGAGGCTAAGTGTTCAGTAGGTATAAATGTTTCATATTGCTTGGACTGAGGACTTGGTATTTCATATTGGATATATCTTTAAATTTTGATTTTTGTTTCTTATCTGTCATTAAAAAAGAAATTTAGGATATAATAGGTGCTATGTATTTGAGTACAAATAAATAAATTATTGTTAATATTCATTATTTCTCGTTAGTTTCAAAATTTTTGCCAAGGAGGTAATTTAAGATAGAATTGCTTTCAGCAACGCGCTGATTTTTACAAAGACATAGATTTTCGACCAAACGGCTCATCCTGTATAATTGCGCTTTATTTATACCTCCAAGGGGATCTCCGGCGGAAGAATCTCATCCTAGAACCAGCCAAACCATGTGCGATGGATATTATTATAAGATCTTTATTTCAGTAGGACCGTATGCCATAATGGGATTTTCTTTTAAAATGAGCGGGTATAAAAGAAGAAAAAAAGTTAAAAGGATAAATCATCGATTCAATCAATTAGTTTTAATTATTGGTTATTGAAATTCCATTCAAAAATCTAAAGAGTAAAGTCATCTTAATTATTTATTTATTTTTCTCTTCTGATTTTGCAATTTTTTTCAGAGAAAAGGCACCGTAAATATGTTCGATGGAAACAGAATGATCGATTCAAAAATGGAATTTCTGCGGCATTGTCGCGACGATACGATGGAGCAAGACGAGCGCGATCCTTAAGCCCATCTATGACAACGGTTTAATGGCAATGCTCCAAGTTTTTTCGGATTTTTTGATTTCATTTGCTTTTGAATAAATTTTTAGCGATAAAAATTAGGTGGTTAGTTTAGAAAAATTTCTGGAGAGTCTGATTCGGGAATCTATTGTTTGCGAATTACCGATTTAAAAATTCATTAAGTAAGTAGCAATTTCTGGCCGATGAAAAGTTTTTCTTCTGAAGAAAGAAAGAAGGCGATTATTCTATATAGAATAAGAAAAAAAATTAAGGCACTGGTAGGCTTGATTTTACGTAAAATAGCTTTAGACGAATGGTAGAACTGCGGTATATGAGATATTTATTTAGTAGGTATAAATGTTTCATATTCAAGAATTTTTATTACATTTAAATATTTTTATATTTATGATTTCAGTGATATGTTGCCAAGCTTTTATTCTTCCTCCTCATGTTTTTCTTCACAAATTCTGTTTTGGCTAATTCCACTGATTAGAATGGGGCTTCTTTGCCAGAAAGTCACTCGGTGAGTATAAATAGGTTTTTGGCAGCATCCAAATTTCACTGTTAGTGACAGGTCTACTCCTTTCAGCTCCAAGAATCGAGCCAGTGGTACTTAACATTATTCGAGACTCTATTCGACAACAAAAGCAAATGCATTTTTTTTAAAATTTTTTAGTTTCCATGAAATCTTCATTGTTCTAATAAGGTTTAAATGTATTAATTATATTCTTATTCTTATTCTTATTCTTGTTCTAATAAGGTATTCTTTTGGAGCCTTTGCCTTATTGCTTTATTACTTTTTTTTTCATTTTTATTCTTATGTCTTTCCATAATTTCCCATAATTTTTTTATTTTAAGATTTATAAATTGATTTATGCATTAAAATAACATTCTTTCATTTAATTATATTAAGATTTTTTCTTAACAAAAATTTGAAAAATTACCGAATCATAAGACTTTCGGTATGCAGTATTATAGTTAACTGTGGATATTCGCTTGTTTATCGAACTACATTTCTCCATTTCTCATTTGGTTGGTTTCTCGATAACTGTTAAAATGGGATCTTTTAGGTAGATTCATTGGGCACAGATGTGCAATCAACTGAATATGAATATGATTGAACGTAAATGAAATTAATTGGAATTCCTTGCTTCAACCACAGCCAACTTTAAAAAAGTGCTCTTAGATCCGATTATCGAATATTTTTAGATTTGAAAAAAGCTATTACAGTGCTAAGGAATGGATAAAATTTCAAATCAATAAGTGATAGAAGCTTTTAACAAATGATAAAACTAGTATCATCATTGATTTTGATCACAACAGTGTTGCTCGAATAAAATTTTATAGATTTTTGGTATTCTTGGAAAAGAAATTCGAGCCTGGATATCTAACCATTCTGCAGTCTTGAATTAGTCAATTAGTGGTTAGCATCATTGTTGGTAAATTTTACTCCACTGAGTATTGCGATAAGCATCTCGGAATATGTGAGTGTCTAGCATCACCCGGTTTTCTTAATCGCAACGCTATAGGCCGAACCGTGATGTTTGAACTCATAAGAGTAAGAAATCTACTACTCGATCTCTATCTGCAATCTTATCTATAATTCGCATACCTCTAGAGTTTTCACCATTGCCATTAGATTTCTTGGCCATCATGGATTATTATACTGAATATTTCAATTGCATACTTATTCTAGCGTCAAGAAAATCAATCATTTCATTAGCCAAATTTCCATGATTTTTCTTTTCATCATCAGCGCTCGTTAGTTTTCATCGTTAATTGCTCTATTATTCCAAAAATTTATTGTATAGTGAAGAGTGAACAAATATTTGAGTATAATTTGTGGTTTGTAAATTAGGCTGCTTATTGCTTAATGTAAATATCATTTCATTTCCAACATTCTATTTTCCTTTTTATATTCATTCGAATCGACCTAATAATCTGTCTTTCAAAATCTGATTGCGCTGACATTCCTTCTATCAAGTGAATTCCTGGTAAAATTTATCAGATCTGACAAATCAGCGAAGCGAGTCTAATCAGAAATTATGAAAAAAATTATGCTCTTATAAAAAAAAACATGCAAGATTAATATAAATTTTTTGAAAATATTTTCATCAAATTTTTTCTTATAGGTTTTCATCCACTTCCATTATTTTTGCAAATTGACAACATAATAAAGTTTTGCAAAACCATTTGATAAAACCTCCAATGAAATACCGCGTTTTGTTAGATGATAAAGCGATTTGCATTCAGTTGATTCGAGATTTCCTTGATTCTACGGAGAAGTTAATTAATTTGACGTCTTACATACGTTTTTTTAAAATAATATGTGATATTATTGCATTTCTATGCTCTTCAAGAACTCTTAGAAAAAACCATTAAATCGGAGCTGTTGGTTAGCATCTTTCCTTGCAAAACAAGATGATAGAATAATAGAGTGGTACGATCTTTTATTTATTAGCTTAATCACCGTTAGTAAATTCTGCTTCGATTTCACAGACAGCTTGAAAAGAAAAAATAGTTTCGTCTTCATGATCGTTATTCCTTTCATTTATCCAGGCTAGTGGAAGACTGAAAAATTACAAATATTTTGTCGTTTACGAGAGAGCTTTGTTGAAGGAAAATTTTTTCGGACTTTTTTTCGCATTCTCATCTGAGTATTAATCAAAATCCTTGGATTTACAGCTATATGGATGCGAGTCATCATCAGCAATTATCGGATATCTTAGAATTTTGCAAGGATAACATAATACTGAGAAGATTGAAATCTGGTGTTCTTAAGCCCATGAAAAAATATTTATGAAAGATAACAAACTTTATTATTTTCTGCTCCATTATGCAATTTATTAGTTCTAAAGCAAAAATCCAGTAAGTCATTCTTTTAATAAAAGATTGATTTAATATATTTATTGAAAAACCAACCATGCAGAGCAGGAAATGCCATGTGCTTATACTAATAACAATTATAATAACAAATAATGAAAATCAATGATAAAAAAAGAAAATGTGAGAAAAATCAATAAATTAAAGAAATAATTCGAATTAACTATATTACTTATAAATTGGATAGTAAAAATTAAGGTTTAACACGATATTATCTAATCTTTTTAAAATAGCTAGGGATGACGCATAAATTGCATCGTTCGACGATTTATTTCAGTAATTAATGGTACAAATAAAGAATTCATGAGTCCTTAATTTAGTTTTACGCATAGGTTTTAGTAATTTTAGCCCATTAGTTCTTGTTGGATTTAAATTTAACCTCGATATTTAGAAATTTAACCTAGATAATATTTTGAACAACCTAATTTAAATAACCATACAGAATTTTATAAGTATAAATTAAATCTTGTTTGATACGACGAATTGAGAGGGAATCCAAGTTGTATTGTTGAAGTTGTTTTATAAATAAAATTGTTATTAATTGAAAGAGGCAATGTATAAAATATTTTTGTACTCCTTCAATTATTTTCAATTATTTTATTTTAAAGCAATATCTAATTTCTTGAATTTCTTGAATTTTGATTAGAATTTCCTTTAAATACATCTTTTCTTCCATTTTTTTGTTTTTTATTTTTTTGGTTGGTTTTACTTCATCGGATTATGTAATACAAATTAGAAATTACAAATTCTTTTCGATTAGTAGAAGATTCTATTCGCAGAATCTTTATTTGAATCTGAAAGTTTTATTTATTTTAACTAGTTATTCGCCAATTCATACGATACTTCTCATCCATATTTTTTCTTGATAAGAAAAAAATCGCTATATGATTTTCCATCGATAATTTATTACCTGGCGAAATAGAATGGATTAAGAATGGAAAATTAGATAAATTAGCCTATTTTCTTATTTTCTTCTTTTTCTATTTTTGGCATAAATCTTAGTTTAAATTAATATAAAATGTTAAATAGCGATGATTTGTAGAAGTTTCTAATGGAAAAAAGTAATTCTAAAGAATGGACAAAAGGAAAAGTTGTGGAATATTGCGATAAACAAAATTTTTTTCTAAATGATATTCAGCAAAATTACTAGAAACAAGGAAATAAGGCGATCGAAAAATGAAGAGAATTCAAAATTGTATCTTAGCTCAAAAGAAAGAAATATACTTTTTATATGATAATCTGTAAACAAGCAATGTAGTTTTTGTGTATCTTATCCAACTATTCGCTCCTAAAATTACTGTTGCCCACTTAAAAACAAGTACCAATTTCGCAAAAATGCTTTTTCTCATGCTTTTTTAAAATGTAAGTAGTTAAATAGGTCTTTAAAAAAGCCGAAATCTATTTATTCTTCTTGCCTGCACTTAAGAATCTTTAATAAATATTTGCATATATTTTCAATTTTTATGTAATTGTAATTTTGTGATTGCAAATTTTTGAAAAAAAGCGTTAAAAAAGCGTTACATGGTGAAACATGACAAAATCAAAGTAAATACCCGATAAGGGTGCACACTTAAGCAAGATTTTTTGTGTCCTCGCTTATTCAACTATAAAAAATTTATCCTCTTCGTTCATAAATAAATGAATTTAGTCGAAATCAATGAACAGGTCGAAATCCGCACAGGTTTTGACACTGATACCTTCCATTCTGCCTTGCAGAAACGTTCCTGCAGAAAACGAATAAAGGCAGTTACAAGAAGTTCTTCAGTCTTTTCTACCTTTTCTATCTTTTATCTTGTCAGATTGTAATGGTCTATGGAGTTTAACAGTTTTTTCTACAAATAACCTAAAACTCCAATGCTTGAAAAATTTGTAGATAAAGGATCAGCTAAAAGATCTTATTGAAAAAATGCACTTTGCTGGTCGGCTAAACTTTGGCCAAATATGGGTATTATTTAGCAATCTGAATATGGAGATCAGTAAAGATTACACCAAGTATTTATTTGAGGCAAGTATTGATAACATAGTTGGCTCAGAAATGTCGATCCATTTCAGATAATTTTAATTGCGTTGTTAATTAAAACATGGTTTTATGCTATTTTAATGTTAATTAAAACATGGTTTTATGCTATTTCGTTAGTTTATGACAAATTCGACAATTTTTTTCGAGGATAAATATTTTAGGATAATGATTATAATAATATTATTGTTGCAGAAAGTAGATTCAAGCAAAGGAGCATCTGAAAATTTTCTAGATGAGGAAGAGTTTTTCAAACTATTTTCATATTTAATTTCACGTGCAGATTTGGCTCGAAACATTGCAGTTCAAATCATGATTTGGCTTTATCAGCTAGAGACCTGCGAGATTTTTTAAATAATGAGCAACAGGTTTATAATTACTTAATAGCAATTTATTGAAATGATTTTAAATGGCAGAAAAATGAATTTATTTTTAATTTTGAAGGAGTTTTGAAATGACTTTCACATGAATTTTGGAAAGTTTCTTACATCTAATGTTTGAAATTTTAGTTCAAAAACGATGATTCAAAACGTTGGTGCAATAATCGAAGAATTCGAGATTAATGAACAATAAACAAATTTGCATGGAAAATTTATGGGACCAATTGGTAAGTTAATCTATGAATATTAATTTAAAATAATTACTAAAATCATTGAAAAAATTTAAGCTAGAAAAAATCGAAGGTTCAAATCGAAGGAGGCGCTCTGGGATAACATTATTTATGCAAGTGGTATTTGAACGAAGGTGGATGCGATCTTGTGAGATTTTATCCACTCGGCGAACTCGTAAAATATACCTTAGATAAGAGTGGTAAAAGGCAGATAACTTCTTAATATCCTCCACTCTCATTGGCCATGACTCAGAACCATATAGTAAGATCGAACAGATCACGGCAATATAGATGCGGACTTTCGTTTTTATGGTGATTTCACGACGATTCCATAAAGGTTTCGTCAACCGGAGGAACGCATTTCTAGCTGCCGTGATCCGAGTTATAATATCATCTTTTGCCTGTCCATTTGGTATTAGAAACCAGGCACTTCCTCAACCGGCAATGAATTTACAAAAAGAGGCATTTTATCAGCTTCTTGCACATAAGACGAAAAGACTTTCGTTTTATTTTCATTGATTGAGTCCGATTCTTGCTGCAGTTTCTGACACGTTATTTATTTATTACTTGCATTATTACTTGCATTTCATTAGTGTCCATTATCCAATCTATCGTATAGTTGAATATTGTGAGGGAAAGGACGCAGCCCTCACGGACACCTGTTCTTATTTCGAAAGAATCTGTCAGCTCCCCATATACACAGACCTGCGCCAACCTGCGCTCATAAAATGCCTTTATGAGTCTAATGATTTTCTCTGGAACACCATCATGTTCCATCACCCTCCAAAGCGCCGCTCTATCAATTGAATCAAAGGCAGCCGCGAAGTCGATGAAACACGTGACAGTGGGTTGCAAATATTTGAAGCGATGTTCCAACACCCTACTTAACGTGAATATCTGGTCAGCACAACCCGTGCCCTGATCAGCTTGATTAAGGCGCATGCTGCTGTCTCGTACTTCCATAAGTCTATTAAGTAGCAGTGAAGCAAAAATTTTTGCTGAGACGTCTAATAGGCTGATGCCTCGATAATTATCGCAACATGCTCTATCACCTTTCTTGAGAATTGGGAGCAGAATTGCTTTGCTGCAATCATCTGTTAATATTTAATATTTATATTAAATTTATATTTATATTTATATTAATATTATTTATAATATTAATATCTGTTAATATTTTTTTTGTACTAAAGAGTACGTTTGTTGAAGGTGCGTTATGAAGGATGGCAGTTGAAAAGCTCAGCCCGAAGACCATCTTCTCCTGGAGTTTTGTTGGCCTTAAGCTTATGGATAACTGAAATTATTTCTTCTTCTCTTGGAGGCTCGCAAATGCGTATGCTTTGGCAAACGTATCAGCTATATCAGAGGCAATAGATGGCGCTTCATGGTTAAGTTTGGCCTCAAAGAATTCTTTCCATGTTATAAGGCGATCCTTAATACTTTTAATTAGTACGCCATTGCTGTCTCTTACCATTTCTCTGATTCCGAGTCATAGTTAAAGAAGGCAGAATAGTTTCCTGTTGTCACCTAATCGAGCCGCCACCTCCATTCTTGTGGCCATGTCACTCCAATAGAGATTTCTGTCCCGCCTTGCTGCTTTCGTTGCAAATCTTCGAAGCACCCGATAGTCAGGATCACCTGACATTCGTGCTTTGGCAGCTTTTTCAGACAATTGGACAGTTGCTTCCGATACCCATAACATGGTCAGATCCATGAAGATTGCCCGTTTCAGCTGCGCGATAGGAACGACTATCTAGTATGAAACTTTTCCAACGGCGACTGATTATGATATAATCAATCTGATTGAAATGTTGGTTGTCCGGGGAGTTCCACGTGACTAGATGTTTTCTATGATATCGGAAGCAAGTATTAGTAACAAAAAGTTCATGCTCTTCGGCATAATGAAGAAGATACGATATTCCCCATTGGTACACCGGTCTCCGATGCCATATTTGCCAATTGTTGTGGTCATCGCAGCTGCATTATGACCTACGCGAGCATTCCAGCCTTCTCTCCGATTATGATCATGTCATGTTTCGGTAGAGACTTCGTTAGCAGTTGGAGCTCCGCATAGAACTTGTCTTTATCACGTGCATCTCATCTGCCGACAGCGTTGGAACATAGACACTGATGACCGAGATATTGCAGAACTTACCCTTAAAACGGGTATAGGCCATACCTTCGTTTAGCGGTTTCCACTCAATCAAAACGGAATGGTCCTTGTCAGACATGACGCCATTTCGTCCCGAGTTATTCGAAGCACCACAGTGATATAGCCAGTATCTCTGCTCTAACCAGGATTAATAATTTCTCGAGACCCAAAGTGAGGAAGACGGACCTCTGACATGCAAGCGATATCCACACGATACTTAGACAGGGTGTGGACAGCGATCGCTTGGCTTGCAACGTCAATAAGCGTTTTAACATTCCACTGATACGGCTAATACCTTGCCGCGCGTGCAGACGGCTGTTCCCCTTCTTGATAGGTTTCGAGCAATTACCCTGGCTTGAGAGCACATTTTATTTACCATCCTTAGGATCGCTTTAAGCCCGGATTGTATACTTATCGCATGTACCACCGGGCTCGAAATATCATGTACATCGGGAGACGCGGACGCCATATCAAATGTATCTGTCCCTTTCACCATAGAGTCACTTGGGGATAGAGTTACAGATGGGTCCCAGCAGCCACCCGGATTTTTGGCATAATAGCAGGTTTACTTTTGCCAGACAAAAAAAAAATTAAATTTGAAGAAAGTAATAAAATGGACAATGAAATTTAAAAAAAAATATATGATTATATGTATATATATGAAAAATATATATATATATTATTTATACAATAATATATATATATTATTTATATATATATATTATTTATTTATATATTATTTAATTGATTTGATTTAATTTAATTGATTTAATTTTAATTTAATTTATTTTATTTTAATTTCAATTGTTGTTTGGTAAAAAAAATTAAAATTTCAAAAGAACTTAGCTGAATTGTTATCAGAAATAATTCCCAAATAAAACAAAATAAATTGAGAATAATTTCTTAAAACGACCGCTCGCCAAACAAAAATTTTTAAAATTATTTTTGAAAATTAAAAAATAAAATTTTATAAAAATTATATATCATACATATATGGTTTGTCCATCATTTATTGTTTATAAAAGTGTGCAAAAAGTCAAGATTTACTTAAAATTTAATTCTTGAATTTAATTTAATGAACTAAAAATCAGAGTTTATAGACTGATTCTTTAAATTCTTGCAACATATTTCACTTCTGACAGTACCAAGTGTAACGGTACTGACTGGGTTGTCTTCAGTAGTTCACTAGTTAAGATTTTTCTCAGTTTGCAATTGATATTATATCCAAAAATTAGAGAAATGCCACCTTAAATACCACCTTTTTATAAAATGTTATTTTCTTGCTGCTGTATGTCGTTAGATTGCTCATGCATCAAAATTTTTTCTAACTGTATCGGACTACACATTTTATAAAAAAGTGGTATTTAATGTAATAATAAAAAGTAAAATATCGATGAAAAATTAGGAAAATAACTTCCGTTGCAGCATATTACAGGATTTCATTCATTACTTTATTCAAATTATGGAAGTGTCATGAAACCTGTTCATGATTCCATGTTTCAAGACGTGGACCAACCACTAAGTCATTATTACATCAATTCAAGTCATAATACATATTAAATGAAGGATATATAAATGCTCTTGAGCGTGTTGAAATATATGCTTTGACGATTTTTAGCTATTCGTCTGGTCATTTTACGAAATTTTTACGCGAAAAAAATTTTTAGTTGATATATTTAATGGCGACCATGGATTACCTTGCATAATCCATAAACGAACGCTGATAAAATCAATTTATCTTAAGGATGTCTTAGTTTCGATCTATCAATACGTATTCCAGCATAATCCGTTTCCAGTTGTACAGTTTTACTACTGAAAATCATGCCGGTCTTGAACAGCAAAGAGTCATGGCACGAACTTTCCTCGAAGTCGGCCAGCTTAATTTTTAACTTTTTTTCAATAAATTTAATTTTTCAGTTTAACTTCTGTTTAACTTCTAATAAAAAGTGATTCCGCCTTTGAGCTCTATGCATTCAACCAGAAAGCCAAGACTATTCGGATTATTGTTTAAGGATAAAATGCAGTTCTCAGTTAGCAGAGCAAGGCTTCAGATCATATAAGCTTTCATAAAGCTTCCTTTATAAAGTCTCATCACAGAGCTAAATCAATAACCTCGACCTTACAAAATAACAAGAAAACATGCTTCGTTACCTATAATAAGACAACATGATGCAAGTTTTAAACCTTTGCCTTCAACAAATGATTTGAAACATAGAATTTTATTGCGTGGAAAAATCTTATCAGATGAAGAAACTTTGGTTCGCCAAGATAGGTACAGCGATTCTTTGGACGATTTTAGTTCAATAAAGAACGATCTTGACCACGAATACTCGAAGTTGATATCGATCGCTGTAGTAAAAATCAGTGAAAATTTGAGTAAGTTGATTAAATTGATTTGAATTTAGTAAATTTTGATGAAAAATTATAAATTCCTGGATTTAATTTTTTTTCTGGTTTTATTAATATTAATATTTTAATTTATTAAATATTAACTATTAATGACATATTAAATGATTAAATTAAAGATTATTAACGAATAATATTAGTTTAATTTTCTTAAAATTTTAAAGTTTCGCAAAAATGGTATTCAACAAAAAAAAGTGAAGAAGTTCAATTCTCAATCTTCCACCATAAAAAAATGTGCATTCTAAAAGGAAGAGGCAATAAAAAACGCAAAAAACTATCAAATTAAGGGAAATCTCATCTAAATTTTATTTTTTCAAAATATTTATTAAAGATCCGCTTAATGGGTCAGTAGCCGAAGGCAAAGTTGTTTGATACTCGGAAGATGTTCAGTTTACTCTATATTCAATTAAAAGACTCGTCAAGTCCTATCCAGATGGTTTTCAAAATTCAAGCAATATAAACCCGATGATCTCATGGATTTGTGGCATTCAATGCGTTGCGTTCAATATGCAAATTTATGATGAAAATTTTGATATCAATGCTGGCTTATTCCAAATCAACGGTAATTGCGGATATGTGCTCAAACTGTGGGTTCTGTTGGATGGAAAAAGTTTAATTTTTATTGAATTATTAACTATTTGTTCATATTAATTAAATTAAAGATTATTAATGAACAATATTAGTTCAATTTTCTTAAAATTTTTTCCGCTTCTGAACGATAAAAACGATAAGAATGAAGGATGTGAATAGTTTCCTCGATATCAAACACTCCACTGTTTCCTTAAGATATTCCAATATCCTGTCGGTTTTGCTTAATCTCTTATATTTCCCTTTTATACTTTCCATAATTATTGCATCTTTTATTAATGCCAAATATAAAAAACAATTGAAAAAAATAATTTTCAGGCCAAACAAAGGCTTCGCAGAAAAAAATACCAGGAATTTAAGAGTTGCTTAATGGACTACTTGGAATATTCGTTCATATATATAGGAATATAGCTAGCCAGCGAAGCGAGCTTAACTATAAATGGTGTAATCGAACCTCTATGTCAAAAATTTTAATTAGGATGAACAACATTTTTATGAATGATTTTAGCAACATTATTTTAGCCTTTTCACGTTTTCAATTTTTTAAATTTTCAGCCATTCTTCAAGAAACAGAAGGAAATTGAGCTCGTATGGACTCGTAGAATTTTTAATCGATAACGAATTAACAAATTTTCCTTTTTTCAGATAATCAGTGGATAATATTAACCTGAAATTGCAATCCATGATATTTGTCATCCATATGTTTCGTTAGAGATTCTCGGTCTACCTGCTGATTCACGACAATTTCGAACGAAAACTGTATTCAATAACGGGTGAAAATATAGATTTTGAAGAGTGCTAACTGCATTATAATTATAATTTCGATTTCCGATTTCCGACTTAAAAGACAAAAAGCGAGTTAGAAATAGCTGAAACATCTTGAGCAAAAGATATAGAATTTAATGTATAAATTTACTCATATTATCTTTTGATCTTTTGCGTCCTTTTTTATGAATAATCAACATTTGCCATAATGAAAAAGAAAAACTTGATTTTCAATCTTAATCCACAGTGGAACGAAACGTTTATCTTTCCATTATACAATCCTGAACTTGCATTATTAAGATTTTTATGAAGGACTTTGATAGAACATCAATGAATGAGTTTATTGGAGAATATACAATACCAGTAACAAGTATAAGAACAGGTTCGATTTGAATCTCTTAAATCTCATATAAGATTTGATTTGCATACGGATTTGCTTATAAGATTTTCTTACGAAAGGATTTAAATACTTCTTGAATTTTGAAGTGAATGAAATTTAGAAAACCTCAACCAACCAAATGAAAGGATAATAAACCGAAATTGCAGAATACTCAAATGTTCGGCCCAATACGGAGTCTTCCCACATTCTTCATCTTTCTGCTTCCTTATTTGTACCAATAACATTTAATAACTCACAAACTTTCACTGTTTTCGACGAGAAAGTTTCAAAATATTTTACAAAAAATAAAAATCATGGTAAAATTAAATAAAGTTAAAGGTATAAATACAGTATGAGCTTTGAAAGAATTTACAGAAAATGGACTAATCAAACTAGTGAATTTAAAAAATGGAGTATAAATTATATTATAAATTATGTCGAAAAGAAAAAAAAGATCGAAGTCAGTAATTCGTTTTTCTCGTAAATTTGGCATGAATTTCAGCACGATCTTCATCGAAGAAGAATCGATTTTTTAGCTTTCAGATCATTGGGTTATCAGCCTACTTAGATTTAGGAAAAGCTTACGATATTTTCATAATAAATCAAATTCTTCACAATTATTCGAGAATTTGATATTATTGAGAAATTTATTAACTGAGATTCAGTTATCAGATTCATCAAACCTGGTGTAATTTAAGGCATAAAATAAAATCAAGGTATTGGTCCATTTCTGAATATTAAAGAAGTTTCTAATTTACATATTTATTTGTTAATGACTTATTTTCCAAATGGCATATCAGAGAATTTAAATTATTTTTACAGCGACAAGAATAATTAGTTAAATGGCTATAATAAACAATATAATTTATCTGTTGATAATTCTATATGATACTACATGCTAGATCTATTGAATTCCCACCGGATACACAATGCCCTTCACTAATTAAAAATCTATCAGACTTTTACCTCATGTGCAAAACCGTTAGAAAAAAAACAGAAAATTTAATATACATAAAACGTATCCGGCTTAATATATAGTTTCTAAAGTAATTTGCTTCAGATATGGATGTAAGACAGAGTAAAAAGTGTTCTTCACTACTGTTTCAATACGAAATCAGTTACGCTAATGAAAAGTCATTTTTTCAGTGGCATAAAACCCTATTTCTTTTATTAATCATAATTTAAGGCTTAAGCTTGAATATCAATGCTGCCACAGATAATGAAGATATTACGTAAATTCAATTGTAGGACCACTGATCTATTTCACAATCCCTTCGTTAATTCACCATTTTCAAATTATCATTGCTAAAACTAGCATATAATTACTCTTCTCGTTCCCTTATAAACAAATAAATTAAGTTCACGAATATTGTATCAGATAAACAAATAGTTTAAAGAAAAATATTTTCATCCATATATTAATAAGCAAATTAATCATCAGATTGGAACTCACTATAAGCACCTGAATTTACAGCAATATCCAGCCCAGTTTTACCCGCTTCCAATCGCTGTCTTATCAACCGTGCGATAGCATGCTGTGTTCTTCGTTCCAATTTTTCCATTCGCTCTGCCACATCCCGCTTAAGATCCCAGTCAATCTGCAAGAAAACAGAAATATTACGCAAGTATTTAAAAAGAATAATTTGCTATTACAAAATCAATTTTTGCTAAATCGCGTCTTTCAAATAACTTAAATAATTACATGAAGATTCTGAAAAAGCTCAAAACAATTTCAAAATTTGATGACAAAATCATATTTTTATTCATAAAATTACCTTTTTTGGAGCCAGCGTAGTTATATCAACATTTTCCACAACACTTGTATCTTCCGTATCAAGCAGTTGTTTCTTAATTTCTCTTTCAACAATGAATAAGTCGACATTGGATGTTTTCATACGATTTCCTTCATTTACTGGTTCACAGTTTTTGGACTGAAGTTTTTTGCCATTCAACTGAGATTCCGAATGGTTTTCACCTGAAATTATTAATAATTATAATTGATATGAACCCACAAAGAGTTTTTCTTACCTCTATCATCATATTATTAGGCATAAAAAGCGTTCTTTACCACTGTTTCACATACTGCACACACAATAACATAATAAGACATAACACATAATAATAATAACACATAATAATAACACATACTGCACACATAATAACACGATAACATTGCACAATATTTATGAATAAAAAAACCACCTTGGTTGCACGATGCTCTGATTTGCGCCAACCGTCGCTTTCTTTCGTTGAAAACATTTGACAATTTATTATCATCATTTAAATCTTTTTCTTCTTTTTCCGAATCCATCTCTTGCTATCAATTTTAACAGCGATTACAACTTTAAATTTTATAGATTGATTGACTTCTAAAAATGGAGTTTTAAAGATTCCTCAAAATACCTTTAGACCTTTAGATAGAAGTTTCTCTCCCCATAAAGCATTTAATCAAGGAGCGCAAAATAATTAGGAAATTTTCATGCTAAATCCAAAAAAACAAAAAAAACTCATTTAAATAGCAATCGGGTAAACCAACATAACCAATATAAATAAGCATAACATTTCTTCACCAATAACATTTCTTCAAATATCTATTTAAAAAAATACATGGAACAATTATCTTACAATTCCAATAAGTGCACTACAATATGTAACGAATATAACAATAATACTCAAATTTTTGTCTAAAGAAAAATTAATTAGCGAAATCGATATCAATAAAAACATCGCTTCTACTATAAAATTCAAGGAGGAGAGCAAATTTGAAATCACTTCTTTATTTCTAGAATCCAATGCACCTTTCGAAGCACCTTTTAGAAACCAAAAATCCTGTAAATTTCATGAAAATTAAAAAATAAATGATAAAATTATTCGTTAAAAGAACAAATGAACAAAATCATAGAATGCAACGACTTCACAAAATAATAAATAAATTGAAACCGATTTTCACGAATCATATTGAATATTTTATTTTTCGATTCCTAAGTATTCTAAAATGTTCATCCATTTTATCCCAACCATTTTTCTTCGGCTCACGGCCTTTGAAACCTGGTCCATCACCTTCCTCGAGTCTAAAAATTCATTGTAAAATTTATATTTCTCCGAGAAAGTTTAAGGGTAAAAAAAGTAAACACCTCACAAAAAGATGTATATATCGATAACGGATTGGATAATATTGTTCTCTAGCATGTCGTCTTATTCCTTTAACGATATGACACTGCAGTGGAAACGCCTCGGCAACATGCATATCAGACGGATATTCAACATGAAATTCATTGTGCGCTCTTTGCTTTGCTTCTTCTAACACATCTTTTAGGATGTTACAACCCTGGAAAATAAACAATAATCAAATTGAGTATAGCTTTATAGCTTCAAAAAAACTTAAACATTAATAATAAATAATTAATAATAAAGTATAAATAAGTATGAGTATAAGCATAAGTATAAATAATAAGTACAAATAAGTATGAGCATGAAAAACTTCAAAATTTATAGGACATCTTCAACAAATGTTAATGCTAACAAATGGCAATTTCACTCAAGGTTTGAAAAATAAAACAAATAAAAACCTTATTTTGTCGGAATCTTAACTGTAATATTGCCTCATCAACGTTCATTCGCCAAACAAACTGACAAGCTAACCACATTCGTTTTGGACTGTAATGGAATGATTCTCGACAGTGATAAACCTGACGAAGTATCGGCAAACCAGTTTCAGGATTGACGTAATTCGGAGGCCATACCACCTTAAACCAATATACTTATTCGACCAGTACATGAAAATGCAGAATATCAAGAAAATCAACCTGTTAACCATTAAAGGAAATTTAAAATTTAAAAAGAGAAAAAAACGACCTTATTGTAAAAACTAGAAAATATTTATGCCTCTCACCTTAGTCTCAAATTTGCTATCGTATTTGAAACGTAACGTTGACTAATATGTAACAAATATATTAACTAAATATATTAACTAAAACGTTAATTTATACTTTATTATAATATTCCCACTTCTCAGGAGTTATAAAATTCCTTGCCAAAGGATAAACATGTTCCGTGTCTTCGCCAGCAAATCCTTTATAAAAATTCCATTCTGGAGCATAATAAACTTTGGAATACAGCTGAAAAAAGTTTGGAATAAATCACACACTACACAAGCATTAGAGAAAAACCCATCAGAAAAATTTCCAATTCCAAAAAACCAGAACTTGTTCCTCTCGTTGAAGCTTGCTTTTCCTTAGCTCTACTCGACGACGCCACGCTTCCTTAAGAGATATATCAGTTCCTGGATAAAAATTTTCTCCTTCGACAGAATTTATAGAGCAGAATCGAACTGGCGACGAACGCCGCGCAATAAAATAACAACTCATTGAATTAAAGTAAAATTCCTCAATTAAAAATGGAATATTTTTAAATGCAGATTTGAACATTTTCGACTAATTATCTGCAAATAATGCAATTTCAATTCGCCAGTGAATGTTGATTTTGTGGGCCAATAAAGCAACGACATTCAAATCACCCACTATTGATTAAATTCCAAAATATACTCGCGAATAAATCATCACCTACCTCGGTGTACATTCTCTTCTTTCTACTATAAAAATTGTGCTATATTAAAATAATCCTAACTGCGTCCACCGAATAAGAAGCAGAATTATGCGATTCTATGATCAAATTCATCCTATTAACCGATTTTTTATTTCATATCTTATAATTTCCCCAAAATACTTTTTAAAAAAAGTAGCGAAGTAGCAAAATTTGAAACTAAAAAAATAAAAAAGTAATAATAGAAAATATTAAATAAAAATAAAAATAGCAAGAATGAATAATGAAATGAAAACAGAAAAATAACGAAAAGAGAACAGAAAAATAAAAGTAAAAGAGCAAATCAACGCTGTTTAACATTATTATCAAATTTTTTTTAGATTCGAAACAAAAAATTAATAAATTTTACCCCAATGGTTTAAAATTTAAAAATATTCTAAAAAACAATTATTGAATAAAATACAAATAAGTTCAACTAATTTCCAATTCCACAAACAAAAATTAAAACAATTAATCGATACAGAAAACAAGTACGGAAAAATTTTAATACGATCCATAAAGATAAAACGAAAGATCAATACACACATTTAAAAAAAGCAAATTGCAGCAAATCAAACAAAAGCTCATTCAAAAGTAGAGTGGTATTATGATAAATCGAAGTGCCAATCAAGCGAAATTCAATTTAAAATATCTAAAATCTATAAAAAATTTACCTTTAGTTTTATTCCATAATCTTATAATTTTATATGGTTTTAATAAAAACTTTCGAATTTCAACCTGCTAAAAGTCAGAGGAATGAAACATTGATAAAATTTTAATTTTTAATTCACGAACAAATAATAAAAATGGAGTAAATATAAAAAATAAACTTAGCTAAGGAATATGCATTAGAGGAATGCAAATGAGATTAAAGAAAATTTATTCTTTAAGCAAAAGCATCAAGATGGATTTAGCAGCTTTTAGGGCTTTCAGTTCCATCGTTAATCCGATAAAACCGTACCAAAGACAAAAAGCAATCACAAATGTGATCAAAAATCTGAACAGCGTCGCCTGCAATATAAACTACACTTAAACGCCGCAAACTCCATTAAAATGGATCTTAAGCCTATAATTTGAATTCAAAGAAAGTAGAAATTCAAGCCAAACATCCACGAAGACTGACTGAGACTTCTTAAACCCAAATTAATTTGAATCATATAATAGTTTCATAGATCTTTCTCTGGTTCCAAATGAATAGTGAATGGTTTTGTTATAAATTACCTATGGAGAAAATCACAACAGATTCGCAATAATCTATATCATTTTGACAAGCATATTCCTGCTAAGATACTGGAATCGAGACTTGAGATTGATTGCTTTTATTATTAAAAAAAAATTTTTGCTTCTCTTATTATTACTGCTTCATTGATGAAAAAAGAGCGATTAATAATGAAAAAATGAAAATTTTGCATGAAACTAAAAAGAAAAAGAATTACCACAGCGGAAAAAGTTGGAAAAAATATATCGACATTAACGGTCGCTAGAAGTACTAATATTAGCAGCACACATGCTGAAAGAAACAAACGACGGTCCCATATAGCACGCTCTTCGCCTTCACTTGTTATTCTGATGGCTTCTTTCAGTATTTCTGAAGGCATGACTGTATCGATATTTTCCTAAATAAATCATAAAAATATAAAAAAATTTAAACTAACACCTATTATATTTTATAAGTAAAAATATTTTAAAAATAAACAAATATTCCATTTCCCTAAAAATTTTACAAAAATACTTTCATCTCCTCGAAAATATTAAATTCAGCATAAACACCGATATGATCACTATAGTCTAACCCACTATCATCAGGAATATGTCCTAGACGATTTTCACATACGACAACATTCAAATTTCCTAAAAAAATAAAATATTACAAATTTTTCAGTTCTCAATAATTTATGGGAGGAAAGGAAGAAAGCTGGATAACCAAGTGAATAGTGGCTTATCATGTTGAAAAAGAAATGTTCGGCTCATGCCCTCAAAATAAATGAACCTACGAATCTGATTAAAAAAATCTGATAGGCTTTAACCAATCTGTATTTCTATCGCCTTGTAACTTCCTGGTAAAAATTTCTAACCAAACCAGAAATTGTGGGCATTAATCATTTGCTCAAATAATTTATAGGAAAAAATTACTCCCATTCTTAAAAAACAATTAAAACAAGACAAAATGTGAAAAAAGTAAAAGAAAATGAATAAAAGTACAAAAAATTACTCCTAACTCCTCTATACAAAATGTAGTCAATCCGCTTGCCGTGTGAATTAGCACTAGAATGCGTATAACAATTATCAGGGCGATCACATGTCATACCAATTCTTTCATCAGTAAAGTTCTATAGAAATAAAATATTAAATATAACATAAGAGACAAATACTGTTATAGCATTTAAAAAAAAAAAACTAACCGGTTTCATCAACCAGGCATCTATTAAACCTGCATTTACAGTAATAACGCGATATCCGAGATCAGTAGGTTCAATATTGAGATCTCCTAGAAAAATAAAAATTGAAAAGTTGATAACATGACCAGTATGACAAAGAAATATATGACCTAAAACTCCACATAATCCAGGTGGCTGCTGGGGACCCACCTGTAACTCTATCTCCAAGTGACTCTATGGTGAAAGGATCAGATACATTTCATACGGCACACGCGTCTCCCGAAGCGCATGATACTTCGAATCCGGTGGTACATGCGATAAATATACAATCCGGGCTTAAAGCGATCCTAAGGATGGTAAATAAAATGTGCTCTCAAGCTAGGGTAATTGCTCGAAACCTATCAAGAAGGGGAACAGCCGTCTGCACGCGCGGCAAGGTATTAGCCGTATCAGTGGAATGTTAAAACGCTTATTGACGTTGCAAGCCAAGCGATCGCTGTCCACACCCTGTCTAAGTATCGTGTGGATATCGCTTGCATGTCAGAGGTCCGTCTTCCTCACTTTGGGTCTCGAGAAATTATTAATCCTGGTTAGAGCAGAGATACTGGCTATATCACTGTGGTGCTTCGAATAACTCGGGACGAAATGGCGTCATGTCTGACAAGGACCATTCCGTTTTGATTGAGTGGAAACCGCTAAACGAACGTATGGCCTATACACGTTTTAAGGGTAAGTTCTGCAATATCTCGGTCATCAGTGTCTATGTTCCAACGCTGTCGGCAGATGAGATGCACGTGATAAAGACAAGTTCTATGCGGAGCTCCAACTGCTAACGAAGTCTCTACCGAAACATGACATGATCATAATCGGAGAGAAGGCTGGAATGCTCGCGTAGGTCATAATGCAGCTGCGATGACCACAACAATTGGCAAATATGGCATCGGAGACCGGTGTACCAATGGGGAATATCGTATCTTCTTCATTATGCCGAAGAGCATGAACTTTTTGTTACTAATACTTGCTTCCGATATCATAGAAAACATCTAGTCACGTGGAACTCCCCGGACAACCAACATTTCAATCAGATTGATTATATCATAATCAGTCGCCGTTGGAAAAGTTTCATACTAGATAGTCGTTCCTATCGCGCAGCTGAAACGGGCAATCTTCATGGATCTGACCATGTTATGGGTATCGGAAGCAACTGTCCAATTGTCTGAAAAAGCTGCCAAAGCACGAATGTCAGGTGATCCTGACTATCGGGTGCTTCGAAGATTTGCAACGAAAGCAGCAAGGCGGGACAGAAATCTCTATTGGAGTGACATGGCCACAAGAATGGAGGTGGCGGCTCGATTAGGTGACAACAGGAAACTATTCTGCCTTCTTTAACTATGACTCGGAATCAGAGAAATGGTAAGAGACAGCAATGGCGTACTAATTAAAAGTATTAAGGATCGCCTTATAACATGGAAAGAATTCTTTGAGGCCAAACTTAACCATGAAGCGCCATCTATTGCCTCTGATATAGCTGATACGTTTGCCAAAGCATACGCATTTGCGAGCCTCCAAGAGAAGAAGAAATAATTTCAGTTATCCATAAGCTTAAGGCCAACAAAACTCCAGGAGAAGATGGTCTTCGGGCTGAGCTTTTCAACTGCCATCCTTCATAACGCACCTTCAACAAATGTACTCTTTAGTACAAAAAAAATATTAACAGATATTAATATTATAAATAATATTAATATAAATATAAGTATAAATTTAATATAAATATTAAATATTAACAGATGATTGCAGCAAAGCAATTCTGCTCCCAATTCTCAAGAAAGGTGATAGAGCATGTTGCGACAATTATCGAGGCATCAGCCTATTAGACGTCTCAGCAAAAATTTTTGCTTCCCTGCTACTTAACAGACTTATGGAAGTACGAGACAGCAGCATGCGCCTTAATCAAGCTGATCAGGGCACGGGTTGTGCTGACCAGATATTCACGTTAAGTAGGGTGTTGGAACATCGCTTCAAATATTTGCAACCCACTGTCACGTGTTTCATCGACTTTGCGGCTGCCTTTGATTCAATTGATAGAGCGGCGCTTTGGAGGGTGATGGAATGTGATGGTGTTCCAGAGAAAATCATTAGACTCATAAAGGCATTTTGAGTACGTTGGCGCAGGTCTGTGTATATGGGGAGCTGACAGATTTCTTTGAAATAAGAATAGGTGTCCATCAGGGCTGCGTCCTTTCCCCCACAATATTCAACTATGCGATAGATTGGATAATGGACACTGCTTGTCGATACTCAAGGGGTTCCAAATTAGTCCAGAGCATCGTATCACAGATCTTGAATACGCTGATGATGTAGTCCTTTTTGCTGGCAGTTGTGACGAAATGCAAGTAATGCTAAATAACTTGTCAGGAACTGCAGCAAGAATCGGACTCAGGATCGATGTAAATAAAACGAAAGTCTTTTCGTCTTACGTGCAAGAAGCTGATAAAATGCCTCATTTTGTAAATTCATTGCCGGTTGAGGAAGTGCCTGGTTTCTAATACCAAATGGACAGGGAAAAGATATTATAACTCGGATTACGGCAGCTAGAAATGCGTTCTTCCAGTTGATGAAACCTTTATGGAATCGTTGTGAAATCACCATAAAAACGAAAGTCCGCATCTATATAGACGAGATTCGTTCGATCTTATTATATGGTTCTGAGTCATGGCCAATGAGAGGGGAGGATATTAAGAAGTTATCTGCCTTTTACCACTCTTATCTAAGGTATATTTTACGAGTTCTCCGAGTGGATAAAATCTCGCAAGATCGCATCCACCTTCGTTCAAATACCACTTCTAAATAATGTTATCCCAGAGCGCCTCCTTCGCTGGTTAGGGCACATTCTCCGTCGTCCACCACAGGAATTTCGTTACTTGCTAAACTGTGTGATGGGTAACGTCAAAAGCGAGGTGGGCTAGTCAAGACCTGGGCTGATACGGTTAGAAAAGATTTTGAACGTATAGGTGGACCAGCAATGTATGGACTTAGACGATGGAACGGCTTCTATTACTATCTACGACGGCATCAGACTACACCATTTAGAAGTGTCTTACCCTTTTAGCCGCTGGAGCCAGCCTAACCAGTAATGGTGAAGAAGAAAGTTGTTAGAAGAAGAAGAAAAACTCCACATAAAAATAAAGCGAGAAAAATCTGTGCAAACTGCAAGGCTTGAAAGATTTTAAAAAACAACAAACCAGTTAATATCACTAAATCTGCACCCTTGCTAGTGTACTTAATGAATTGAGATAATTCTACTGCTTGGGATAATCTGTGCGGCAAATATAAATCATTCATACGGTTGTATTCAGCATGTAACTAAAATAATTCTTTATTAATTATTCGATTTTATTTAAGCTGATACGAAGTCAACCTTTATTATTATTTCAGTTATAAAACTGGAATTTGAATTAAAAAATTTGAAGGAAATTACGAAAAAATTATTTTTATCCACTTCAACCTCATTCTTTCAATAGTAAATAATAAATAAATAGCTTTTTAAATTAAATAATACAAATATTTTCAATTACAATTCACCTTACAACTTTTGCAAATTTTTAAATAAAAACTAGGATTTGCAAATATAAGTTCCTTACATGAGTATTATAAAAATTAATGCGACAATCATGAAATGATATTTCAACCATTCCGACCACTTTTCCACCAAACCAATCGCCCCTAAAAAATCATTGAATTTTTTTGATAAATTAGCACATAGTTTAATCATGAAAAATATAAATTAAATATCGGAATTAATTGGAATCGGAATATCAGAAGATTCTAAATTCCGATATATTTTACCTGTGGGAGAAGAATCGATTGAATTTAGCAAATTAAATAACCTATGAATGTGATGTGCAAATCCATTGAGGGAATATCGATGCATTAATGCAGAAATAATTGTATATCGAGAAAAGATGCATACGCCACTACCCGTAAAACCACTAAAAAGAAAATATTTATTTTTGTGAAATTATGCTTTTATAATTTTAGCAATGAAACTAACAAACAAACTAACAACTATTTAAAATGAATTTTTTTTGCCTCATTAAAAAATTCAATCATCTTGATAAACTTAACATAATTTTCTAAATCATTCTTGAATTTCCATCTAATTGGAAATTGAGAAAAATAATTAATTTAATATAATTAACTTTTAAACCTTTTTAATTATTTGCTTTGAAAGTAAACATTCAAATAATTATCTAAATTCGAAAAATAAACAAACCTGTGAAAATAATATGAATAAGGATAAGAATTTTTAATTGAAGTGCTAATCAAGTCATAATCTTTCTCACACCAAATCTGAAGTTAAAATATCTAATTTGAATTTCTAGATAAAAACAATTAAACTAACAAATGGTGCAGAAAGAATTCATTAGAAGAAAAATTCGCAAGAAAAAACTCAGTAATAATTAGTAAAAAAAAAATTGTAAAATACTTTTAGAAATTGACAATTATTTGCCATATAATAATAGAATAGATAAAAAAACAATAACTTAAAAAAATCCGAAAACTATTCTTAAAAATTTTAAATATCGCTTAGACAATTGATCTGCTAAACTTATAAATAATACGCATTCCCTACCTCTTGCAAAGCGATAATATCATACTCTTCATTTAAGAATGCTTCGATTAATTTCATAATTCTAAATTTCCGATCTTTGCTTCCAATAAGCGGCCAAAAACGTGGTAAAGCCCTGAAATCATATTTAATTTAAAAACTAAAATCAAAAAATAAAAATAAAAAAATATCAATAAGTTTATCGTCACATATCGGTGGTACATTATGAATATTACAAATGAAACCACTTTTCAATCAATTAGATTACTTTTTTTGACTTCAGAAATTCTAATAGTTTTTAAGTCATATCAAATGATACCAACAGTTGAGTGTAATGACACGCAGCACCATATTTACCACCATTTCTAAAACTATACTAAGAGAAGTAAAAAGCCTGAAAACCTGAATATTAACAAATTTAAATAATTCTAATACAGATTGCATTTTCTACAATCTGAAAAAAATAAAAAATTATAATTTGATATTCATTTAAACAAAATTTTAAAAAATCAACAAAAAATCGAAATAAATAGTGGATGGAATAAAAATAAATCGATGAAAATTGTTTAAAAGCAAATAAGGGAAAATATTATATGAAAATATTAGAAAAACTTTTATTTTTGAGCAAAATAAGACGAATAAATAAATAAATAATATTGGATCAAATGGTGAAATAATTAACTATCTCTCGTTTGCGATAAATGTTTTACCACGTCAACCCAATTCCAACCGCGTTCCTTAAAAAAATTTTCAAATGCAATAAAGTCACAATAAATTAAAATATACCAATACATGGAGTATCAAAATCAGAAGCAAAAAAATGAAGCAGTTGTAATAAAAAATTTTAATGAACTGATTCAAAGGATTACCGTTTGATCAAAATTTCCAGCATTTATTCGATCCCATATTCGCCGTTTTTGAGTCTTTGTTAAATGTAATTTCTTAGCCTCAGTTCGAATATTACTAACATTCGTACCTTTGAACACATCAATAGCTTCTTTGTCCTCGTCTGATGTTATATTATATGTTATATTCGGCTGAAAAATGAAAATAAAAGATATATAAAAAAAAATACAGAAAAAAAAATACAGAAAACATTTCAAAATCCAAAATTTTTAAGAATGATTAAAAATGAACTAGCATAACTCCAGAATGATAAAGTGTTAACAAATGTTAATAAAATAGATGTTAACAATTAAAATAATATGGCAAATAATATTTTAAAATCAAACCTGATCTATTGTAAGATCGTCCAAATAATCCTTAACGAATTCAATTATATTATAGGTTGCAGGCATACCCAAATAATTTTTTGCTTCAATATTTAAACGATTTATGATACCTTCTTTAACCTTAAATCGAACTATTTCCAAGTAAATGAATAGAAAAAACTGGGAAAAAGGGAAAAACTGAAAAAACTGAAAGACTGAGAAAACAATTTTAAAAAATATAGCCTTAGGCAATAAAAATCGATTATAAAATATTTCGAGATTAAAAAGCGGTGCAACTTCAGGATAATTTTCAGGCCACGAAATTTCTAAAATGAAAGATTTGCAATGACCATCGTTGCCAAATTTGTACTAAAATATAAATAAATTAAAAAGCATAAAATAAAAAGAATTATAACAATTAATAACAAGAAGAAAAAGTAAAACATTCATAAATATCGAAATGAATTAAAATGGGAAAAAAATCGCTGTAGAAATTTCCGAGTATCCTTATTTTATATCCTTATTTTATAAAAATATTTTATCCTTATTTTATCAAATATTTTGAATTTCATATCTAAATACTTCAAATTTCAGAAAAAAAATAAAATAGTCAAATTTAAACTAAAGGTAAAAATAAAAAATAAACCGACCCGGTACAGTGAAAAATAAATAAACATAAGTAAACTCAAGGTAATAGAAAAAAAATCACCTAATCAGATGCCCATGATGATGCCGGTCACTTTAAATAAATGAGCCAAAGTACCACATAACCAAGCATTAAAAAATTTTCAAAAAAAATTAACAAATAAAAATAAAGCAAAACCAAGGAAAACAGAAAAATATTTATGTAAATAAAAAAAATAAATGGAAAAGATGCAAAAATAAACTAAAAGAAAAAACTAAAAAAAATAAAAACTGAAAATAATAAAAATGTACAAATTAAAAAAAATAAAAGAAATAAAAGAAATATGAGAAAAAAGAACAATATAAAGTTCAAGAAAATAATAAATAAAAAATAAATGATAGCAATAGAAGTAAAAAAAAGTAAATAAATGAAGAAGCTGACCTGAAATTTATTAATGTCCATTTGTTTAAAACATTCGTCGCCTTCAAAAATTGATTTAAGTACTTCAATTTCGATTTTTTGTTCGTCGTTAACATTCATATGCTAATAATTATTACGATTAACAGCTTGAGAAAATAAAAAGAGCTATTTTTTCAAAAAAATATTTTTTCACTGATTTGAAAGGAATGAAAAGTTTATTTTTATTCAAAAATTTATTTATATTTAATTTATCATGATTTCTAAAAAAAAAGGTGTAAAAAGTAAAAGAAACTAGAAATTATTCAAAAGAATTTAGAATATAGAAATATTTGGCCCCGGGTTGGCCGATTATTATTTGACTAATGCAATAATGAATGATGATCGCTGGCAGATCAAGTGGGACAAACAAGTGGAACATGGTTCCGAGTGTTGTTCAAATAAATAAATGAGTCATTGATCCGATTCCGACCTCTAATTTTAGGGCAACAAACATATTAAAAAAGTGAAATCCTGGTGTTGAGGATTCCTCTAACTTCCCAATGATTTTCTGGCAAAAGAGGTCTCCTCCTATTTCTTTCTATTAGTGAATGGAACCAAAAAGAGTGAGTGATGACTCTGAGAAAGTTATTTTCTTCTTCAGAAAACCTTTCTATTATAGTACAAGAATGATTTCATTAAGATTTTTTAAACAATTCAATTCAAATAGTTCGACTACGTTTTACTTTTAAGAAAAGTTCCAATTTATTCAACTTTGAGGTTTGCGATTTGATAATTCGATCAGCTTGGTCTTTCGAACTATCGACACATATACAAACTCCTCTTGGCCATTGGACAGGTTTACTCCTCTCAAAAAGAGAATCTCAACACAGGTTGAACAAGAATCCACTAATTCTAGTAGAGTAGAACTCATTCTACTCTCTGTCTCTTACTCCCTTTTACTTCATTAGGATGCACCGCCGCGCGAAGAAGTGTGATGTGTCCGCCAGAATGGAATGCAAGCCTCGACTGGTGCTACACATGTTATACTTAAAGACAATTATCGCACATTTATCTCTGAAGAAAAGTGCACAAATGATTGCTGGAGATTAGCATCATAAAAATACTAAAATATTCGTTTAGTAATAATATTTTACTATATATCAGCAATATTAAGTGAGTGAGACTGTGGTTCACTTTTAGTTCCTGATTTTGTGATTGCATACTAACATACTAACACTGATAAAAGAGGTCAGAAGCCTCTCAATCCAAAGCTACACCTGAAGTTAGCAGCAAGTGGGCCTAAAAAAACTCACCTGCACTCACTCCTCCCCACCCCGAATAAGCAAAGCAAAGTTCCATCACCATGATTACTGCTGGACCCGTTATCCGACTGTCGCAAAATTTTCTACTCTTCCAAAATAAACTAAAAATTATTTCCAAAATATTTAAATTTGCCCAAAAAAAGTTTTTTGAAATATATATGGCAACAAGCCAGGAAACAATATGCGACAATAATCCACATATTGCAGCACTCTATTAAAATTGTCACGTGTGCGGAGAGGCGTTGTTAGCGCTTCCTACCTGAACGGTTGGTGCTAGTCGCTTCGATTTCTAAACATTATTGTATTTCTAAAATATTTCAGGAATGTATGTGTGAGGGTCTGCCTTACTTTTCTTTCGATAAAATAGAAGAGTTATTATTAGCGACGAAGATGAGATGTTTCCAAGCCTCTCATTCCTGCCATTCCTAAAAATAGCACTTTACCGCTTATTTACCGCATTTTAGCACTGAACCAGTCTTCCTTCAACAACTCGCACCGTTGCAGTCGGACTGGTGCAGTATTTAGAGTAAAAGCCACTCCTTCTTCCACTGTCTAGGCTCATTGAACCGCGTAAAATCGGTATAAATGTAACTGCTATCGTAAGCCACTGAATAACAAATTGTAACTTTTTCCAGTCTCGCTTGATCGCATCCAGCTTCGTTCAAATATCACTTGCATTAACAGTGCGTCCCAATGCGTCGCCTTCGCTGTTTGGGACACGTTATTCGCCGCCCAGCACAAGAGTTGTTGCATATCTCGTTACTCGCTAAACCCTGTGATGGGTGGCGAGGTGGGCCAGTTAAAACCTGGACTGACATGGTCGGGGAAGATTTTGAACCTATTGGTGGACCAGCTATATATGGACTTAGACAATGGAAAAAGGAGTGGTTTCTATTACTGTCGATAATGACATCAGATCGCACAGCTTCGAAATGTCTTACCCTTGTATTGAGTGGAGCCTGTTCAACCAGTAATGATGAGAGCTCTTAGAAAATCTTTGCCAGTAACCAGCTAGCTTATTATATTGGAAATATGGTATGGGTAAGGCAGAAGGGATCAAATAATAGGTGGATATTTGTCATCGACAGTAATAGCATAAGGACAATATTCCCATTTACAGGTTTATGACCCTTGAACTTGTATTTGTATTTGCATTTGGTTTCAAATGGAATCATCTGAAACCAGTCGTAAATTAGGAAATGTCTCGATGTGTGTAGCTGAAAGGCTTAAAGTTGAAGCGGAGAATAATAAAATTTATTGATTTACTGTTGTTTTCAACGAGATAATTTGGAAATTTGAAAATTATTAGTATTCCTGTATGGTATCTGACAATACCACATGAAGGACAAAAGGAAATGCAAAATGCAAAAGGACGGTGCAAATGGGAAAGCAGAAAGGGAAAGGCGAGCAGACGTTTGGTGTTATAGTTATTATACTCGAATTTGTAAAGATAGATTCAGTCCTGCTGCTTTATTATGTTTTATTATTTTATTATGTTATGTTTTTTTATATTTTATTATGTTTTAGTATTTTTTTATGTTTTAGAATGAATTATTTATTAGTTCGCGAGGGTTTATTTATACGAAATATTTTGGTCCGCATTCAACGAAATTCGGGGTTTTTCAGTTCAAACGTTGAAAATTATGGTGATGTAATAAAAAAGCAAAGGCAGCGGACTGCAGGTCAAATTTTGCTCAAATTTTTTAGAAATTTTTATTTTTTACCAAGTACTGTCGTAGTCTATTCCAACAATGCAACCCTGTAAAATGGAAATTTGGAGATTTAAATTTGATTTAAATATTTATTGTGATAGCTTATTTCGATAGGCAGTATCGCGGATTTAGAAGTGCTGGTCATGCACCTTCATAGCTGGAGAAACTATCCGCTTCTGGTTCTTTTTTGTTAAACTATCAGTTCTCCCGTCATTATTTTATTTACTTTTATTATTATTAAATAAATGGCTGGCGCTCGTCAGTTGGATATGCTAACCCTATTTATTTTTTGGCAGAAAGGAGGGAACTGCATTTAACAATAGGCTTAATCAATCGTGCTACGATTAGAGTCGGAATCATGCTATTTGAACTGATAATCTACAGAGTTTCTTAGGGAAGTCGGTGGGAACTGGGGAATCAATGGATAAATATAAATATGCAAATACTGTACCTTTTTAAAATTCTCATAAATTATGAATATGTTATATCAGTAATATTCCGCATTTCTTATTGATTAATTTTTAGATTTCCCCATTTCCTAATTGAATTTAATAAATCATTTGAAGAAATTAAAAAATTACTAGAATGTAAATTTTTAAACCAGGCTTAAAAGTTCTTAATAATGTTTTTAAATATTACTTAGTGTTTCACTATATTTCGTCTTTCTATATCGTGTTTTTTGTAGTTTATTTACTTTGCTAGTTCCAATGAGAGAAGCATATAAAAAATTTTCTTCAGTGAGAACTCCGTAAAATTTTAACGTTTCAAAAATTTGACGAATTTATTTACAGTTTCAAAAAACTTCATTTTTTTTATTTATATATTATGCAGAATCTTCATAAAAATTCCAAAATCTTCTGTGGTGAATCATTTCTAGGAATATCATGGATCGCAAAAATATTTTTTTTTTGTGGGGGATCGATGCAAAAAAAAGTTGTGAGTCCCTAGGCATTATTCATTAAATTTCTTCAGCTAAATTGCGCCTATTATTAATGTTATTTTTTGTTTACTATTTATTTATTTAGAAAACGAACAAGTAGAGTTATAAATATTAGGTGATTGTGAATAGAAAAATTAAACACTTAAAAAAATTTTATAGGCCACACCATGTTAACAATAATAAGGCGTGCAATAGAAGTAATAGTACAAATTTTGTCGAAGGACTGACATTATTATTATTACAGATGTTATATTTAATTATCGTCGTTTTATCATTTTTATTGTAATATTATTAGAAATATGAGGATTTGACGAGCTGGTGAAATTACTTTGAAGTATTTATATTCATGTAAAGCGATTAAAATATATCCGTTCTCTTACAATGCTTTTAAGAGGATAAATTTATCAAGAAATTCGAAGCATAATTTTCAATTTTTGTGTTTCTAAAATTAAAAATTTCAGCAATATTTTTCATAATTTTATGCTCATTTTACAGATGCAAAGACATTTTGGAAAAAGGTATTTTTTTTCTGCGCTATTCCTTCTATGCTATTAACAGCTTATGGAGCGAAAAAAATCCATGATAAAGAAGGTCATTTTGACCAAAGTAAATATGTTGAATATCCATATTTGAACGTTCGTAATAAGGTAATTTTTGTTTATTCTCTTTTTAATGCTTTATTTCTTTATCATTTTAATTAATTTTTATTAATTTCGTCGGTTTAATTAATTATATCTTTTGAATTTTATTTATTGTTTTATTTTATTAATTAATTTATTAATTAATTGTTTTACACTTTGTTAGTGATAATTTTTTAGGCAATTCATAATCTTTTTCCATAATCTTTTTTTGAAAAATTTTCTGCTTCTTTTTTTAATATATTTAAAATATAATAATTTACAATTCTTTTTATAATGAATAATTAAGTTTCTCATCATTTTATTTTGACTCCGAGTGATTTTATCAAAATAGTATTAAATATAATCGATATATTTATCTTGATTTTTATTTGTTTAGAATTATTTTGAAAAAATTTCATTGCTATCAATCATATAAAAACAGTATTATCATTATTTATTTTCAGGTATTGATAATTAATAATATGATGGGGATAAAAAAATTTTTTGCTCTGTTAAGAAATAATATATTCTCTTCTATATCCTCTTCTAATAACTCCCACCATTACTTATTATGCTAGCTCTACTGGTTACAAGACATCTCGAAGGTGTTCGATCCTACGCCATCGTCGATAGTTATAGAAGCCATTCCTTTTTGCATCGTCAAAGTCCATATATCTCTGGTCCATCAACAAAATCTTTCAAAATCTTTCCTGACCGTATCGCTCCAAGTCTTGATTGGTCCACCTCGCTTTTGAAATCACCACCTATCACAGGTTTAACTGGTAACGAAGTATTTATCAACTCTTGTGGTGGGCGGCAAACAACGTGTCCTAAGGCGATGCTCTGTAGTGATAATGCAAATGGTATTTGAACAAAGGTAGATCATATGATTTTGCCCACTCGGCGAATCCGTAAAATGGACCTTAGACATAAGTGGTCAAAGGCAGATGACTTCTTAATACCCTCCACTCTCATTGGCCATGTCTCGCAGCCATATAGCGAGATCGAGTGAATTTCACTATATGGACGCAGAATTTCTTTACAGTGACGGCTCCATAAAAATTTCGTCGGTTAGAAAAACGCATTTCTAGCTGCTGTTATCGGAGCTGTAATTTCATCTTTTGGGCCATTGGGGTTAGAGTAGATACGAGTTAAAGTCGGGCATTTCCTTGATTTTTTTAAAAAGAGACATTTTATTAGTTTCTTGTATATAAGACGAAAAGACTTTCGTTTTATTTACATTGATCCTGAGTCCGATTCTTGCTGCACTTTCTGACACGTTATTTAGTATTACTTGCATTTCGTTATAACTATCAGCAAAAAAGACGACTACATCATCAGCGTATTCAAGATCTGTTATACGATGCTGTGGACTGATTTGAACCCCTTTATTACGACAATCGGTATCCGTTTATCCAGTCTATCGCATAGCTGAATATTGTAGGAAAGGATATAGTCTTAGTGGATGCCATTTCTTATTTCGAAAGAATCTCTCAGTTCCTCCTATATACAAGCTTATGCCGAATGATTATGATTGGAGCACTATCACATTCCATCTTCATCAAAAGCACACACTCCATCAATTAAATCGAAAGGCAGCTGTAAAATCGATGAAACAAATGATGATGGGTTGTAGATATTTGTAACGATATTCCAGTATGTTTTTTAACGTAATATCTGGTCTGAATCCAGCTTGATTAGGGCGCATCCTGTTGTCTCGTACTATTGCAAATCTATTCAGCAGGAGAAAGGAAAGATTTTTCCTGAGGTATAGACTGTTTCCTTAATAATTGTCATTTCTTGTCATTTTCCTTGGGAATTGCTTTGTTACAGTCATCTGGTATTATTTCTTTTTTCTGTGCCAGAAATTACGTCTGTTGAAAATGATGGACAATATTTGAAGGGCTCGGCTGGGAGACCATCTCTAGAGGTTTATTGGCCTTAAATTTCTGGATAATAGAAATAATTTTCTCTGCTGTTGGCGGTTAGTAGTTGCAAACGTATGGCTAGAAGTGCGAAATCCAGATTCAGATATATTCGAGATAACAGTTGGCGCATCGCTTGACCTCATAAAATTCTTTCCATCTTATGAGGCAATTCTTAATAGCCTTAACAGGCTCCTCATTTATATCGCGTATCATTTTACTAATCCCTTCTCGAGTTATAGTTGTTTTATGAAGAAGGCAGATTAGTTTTCTATTATCTATTTCCTATTATCGGCTAATTGAGCCGCCGTCTCCATTTTGAAGATGTAACGAAAAAGCTCTCCATGTGTATGTTTCGTGATTCGTTAACTTCTCCATTTAAAAGTATTGTTAAAGCGTTATCGTTAAAAAGGTACTTTTTCGTTTGTTGTTGTGCTCCTCTTGGGTAATTAAACTTTTGTCATAAGGAACAAAATTGCGGCAAATGTCTATCGCACAATACGAAAAAAAGGCATATATGCAATGAAATCACATTTTAAAATAAACGAATTGAGGAAAAAAGAATAAAAACTCTTTTGTTGTTCGTTACTGATTCATCGATTGAAATTTCATCTTTCCATTTCTAATCTACTGAATCGTGTTTTACTCATTTTTGAGCACAAATCTCTCCATTAGTAATTTCCTCCCACTTTGCTGCAGTTGTAATTCTTTGAAGGCTTCTGATAGTTTGGATCTTCTGAGATTCGTACTTTGGCAGCTTTTTCAGGCAATTTGACAGTTGCTTTCGAAACCCAATGAATAAATAAATAAATAGCCAAATTTGGTTTATTCAATATTTTTTTAAAGAGTATATGATTTGGTTACCAAATTGTTTTAAAGTTTTATTAATATTTCTTTTATAGTCTTTTATTTTGAAAAAGTTTTTTTTTCAGCCATTTCCTTGGGGTGATGGTAATCATTCGCTTTTTCACAATAAAAAAACGCAGTTTACTCCAGGCATCGGTTTCGAAGAAAAGGACCATTAGAAAATTATTTTACTAGATTTTTTTCTAATGGATTTTTTGTTTGTCGATTATGATGATTTGTATGTAGTCGTAACAGTGTTTAATTTTTCAGCAGCATTTTTAATGCTTTGTCGAGTTGTTTCGAATTATTCTTTTTTTCTAAGATTTGTTAATAAAATGAAATTCTTTAGAATTTCTTTTCATTTGGTTTTTTGGTCTTTTTTTGCCTTTTATTTAGATTTTCAATATTTTAATTAGTGTATTTGTCATTTCATTTATCGCTTCATTAAAGTTTTATAATTTTGTAGTCAACAAAAATTTTCAGTGAAGAAGAATAAAATTGGATTTATGCAGGAAAAGGCTCAAAATTTAATGCTCCTCATTTCTAGTCTCAGTTGACTGATTTTAGTACGTAGAAATTTCTGACTAGGAATCACATGGTGATTGGTAAGTCTGTGTGGCAGTTTTCAAAGTTTATTTAAGGAAAATATTGGATCTCCCTATGTTAATCACGTTGAATTTAGTGGTTTTATTGCTTTTAGATATATTGAATGAATCTAAAATAATTGAGGTAAGTTGGAAATGTTTCAGATGGAAACAAAAAATTGTTCTTAATATACAACTGGAAACGAATAGAGGACGACTTCGAAAACATCATAATAGTGGCTATTATTATTTAAGAGAAAAATAAATGCATTAGTAGATTTATTATTGTTATTGCTAATGATAACCAACTTTGATGCTCATGTCGGAAAACGGTTAAATTTGTGCTAACAATGGTTTTTGTGCCATTGTGGAACCATTTTTTGAGAGGGGTTTTTCGTAGGTAAATATTTGTAAAAACAAGTGAAATTTACCATGCAATGTTTATATCTCTTTTTAAGTCTCTTCAGTCTATTATTGAAACCTTTTGGGTGACTGCGTTGTGGTGCGATTCTTTCGAGAGAGAATTAAGGAATTAAGTTTTAGCATTACCCATATTTTATTTAAATCACATCCTTCTTAAGGGATCGAATCACTGATGGCAACGCAAGCAACGTAACACCTTGCGATCTTATTAAATAGTAGAATTACCACTTTGAGAATCTAGCAAATAAATAAAAATAGTGAATAATCCTAGAAAGCGAAATTTTTGTGGACAATTCGTGAGACTTTTAAAATGTGGATACATGAATATATGTAACCAATCACGCGATTTAAAAACAAGTATAATTAAAGAAAAGGTTATTTATAAACTGAGGATGAAGCTATTGGTTTCCTCCCAAGAGGATGGGGAAGGTCAAAGGAGAAATTTATGAATTTTATTCGAGGAATATTTCGAATTAAATTCAAATTCAAATTTCAAATTTCTGGATAACTGCATTGATTTTGGAAATCTCATATCTTCTGGGAGAAATAAATTTAAATTAAGGAAAGTGGCGATAAGACAGAGCAATGGCGATAATCGAGATTCTGGAAAGCGAAAACACTTAATAAGGCATAAATAAGAAGATAGGCAATATAATTTTAGAATTTTCTTCTCCAAGAGATTTGAAAAAACCTTTGTTTGGAAATGGAAAAAATTAAAAGTGCTAATTCCTTTATGAAACCTCTCTCGATGGTTTATGTCTTCTTATCAATTAAATAAATTCGCATAAGTCCTCAATATTTGATGAATCTGACACTTCAAATGATGCATGACGATATTTCATGCTTTTTAAGCCAAATAACGTTATATTTAAATAATAAAGAGTTTTTATTCCGCCTTATTTTTTCTAGCTTTTCTTTATGCTTTTCTAAAATTTATGTTTATGTTTACGTAAAATTAAAATATCCCGTTATTTTTCCATAACTCATAATTCAACTTTCCTCTAATTTAATTTTTTCCAAAAATAATATCGAATATTTTTACCGAATGTTAAGGAGATCACTGACCCTAACAGAGTCAATGGAACTCGAAAATCGAATAGAAGTTGGTGGATGAGATGAGTCAGACTCTTGTAAAACTTTTTTAAAACTTCATATACAATATAATTTCAAAAAATGACAAAATTTCAAAACGATCATTTAGGAAAATTTCTTTAGAATTAAATTAATTTTTTTAAATGGAAAGAAATTTCGTAGAATAAAAATAGAGCCTTTTGTTCAACATTGATATCTTTATGATGCCATTTTATTTTATTTTTTTGATAATTTGATAATTTTTTTTTGACATGATAACATGCAAAATCTTGCTGAATAGCATAAAAATTCTAAGAGAGGATGAAATGAATATTTTTTTTTGTAGAGGGTTAATGCAAGAAAAACTTACTTTTAATTAAAGAGCGTTGATTTAGACTACTTTCTGGTAAATGGTTAGCTGTCACCATTTTCAGTTAGGCTAGGTCCATTGTTAGTCAAGTTTCTTACCAGAAGGCACTTAACGATAGAAGTTCGTTGGCATACGTGGATTTTCTAAATAAATGGTTTACTCTTTTTATGGCGCAGGAGTCGAACCAATGCTTCACAAAACAATCCATTATCATGTCTTTAGCAGAAGCGACCTGTCATTAAGAAATCTGTGAGATAAGAACCCATCTTTATCCCTTCCAAGATAATTCTCATCGTAATCGCCAATGGAACGAACCTAATTGTGAATGATGACTGCTAACCACCCACATACTTATAGATTGGTTCTTATATTTTAAATTCCAAATTCTGTTCTTTCAATTTTTCAGTTGAATATTATTCAAAGTTATTTCAATTGATTATTATTCTAATACATTTTTGTTATATTTTGTAGTGAAATTGTTCTTTACAAAATATTTATTATCAAAATATGTAAACTTAAGATTAATTGAGAATAATTCGTGCAAAAATCTATATTTTTGCAAAAATTTTGATTAGATAAAATTGACTAATTTAAATAAGAAATGAGCGAAGTAATTAAATTTAATTGTTTTTAATTATGGTTTTCTTTTATTTTCCTTATTTTTTTTATGATCTCCCATTCACTAATTGAATATTTTGGATTTTCTTAAATCAAAATAAATTCGTTAAAGTTTGCTTTTTGCTTGAACATTCACCGTTTCTGGCTCGATTGGCTGTTAAATGAAACGCTTTCACCAAACAGTAATTTGAGAATAAAGTATTCTGAGCACCGGAATTTGATGACAGGTTTATTCTCGCCTTGGAACAAGATATGAATCACGATGCCTCGTCTAACCAATATACCACCCAGCCACATTGCTCACAGTTCGGTTAATGCGAAATTATGAGAAATAAGTCATAGTCGAATAAAAAGTTCAATCTTCTGGCATTTCATTTCAATGAAGCTTATTATCATAGAAAAGCTTCGAACTTCATTTTTACAAATGCTTTTGGTTAAACTAATGAATAATGAATAAATAATGAGTAATGTTGAAGTCAACGTTTTAAACTCAAATGTGGATTTGTAGTTAAATGGCGGCGATTGATTCCATCCATAAACCAATGTTAATTCATCGCTTAGCGCTGGCATATTTTAATAATTATTGCTAAAAAATATACTCAATAATCGCCTCCCTCTTATACAAATGAATTCTATTCTCTGTTTTGTTAATAGTAGAATTTTTATAAAAGTTTGCATATTTTTTAGATAAATCGCCGTTAAGTTGTCAAACTTTTACAAATAAATTATTTATTTTATAAGATTTCTGAGAAATCATTTAAAATTTTAGTAGTTTTGAAACTTTGTTATTTAAATTAAATTTTAATAATTTTTGAATAATAACAATAATTTTTGAAAACTTGAATTTAAATTAAAGTTTCGATAATTTTGAGGGATAATTCACTTAAATTCAAATTTAAATTTTAACAATTTTTGAAGTTTTTCTTCGCAAATTAAAATTTTGAATGATTTTTTGAAACTGTTAATTCAAATTAAAATTTCAATGATTTTTAAAAATCAATCGTTTAAATTAAAATTATTTCTTTTATTTTAATTAGCGACGACTTTTAAAATATATTTATATTAATATAGTATTTTGTATTTCGGATTCTAAAAGTTTTTCCTAATATTAAATATTGATTTCGCATTTTAACAGTTTCACTAAAATATTTCAGATAAAATTTATAGCTAAATTTCTAAATGTTGATTGGATGCGGACAATAAAATATTCCCAGTATCCCCTATCACGATGCACTTTACGCATTTTTTCGTTCTTATTGTTATTACTGTCGGATGCTCATCCAGTTGAATATCCATGGACATATGACAATGATTTATTTGGTGGTTTGTCGCTGCTGGTTTTTTTAAAAAAATATCTTTAAAAAAGAATACCTTTCAACTCGAATTTTAGTAAATGGATAAGTTTCAGAATTTTCCTTTATTATGGAATAAAATTTCGAAAATTTTCTTATAATCAATAATAAGAATTAAAACTACCCAAAGATTTCTATAAATCACTTATAAATCACATCCATTTTTTCGAAATTTTATTATTTCTTCATATTTTTGGAAAAGTATTTAAAATATTTATAAGATGAACCCAATGGTGATCAATGATTTTAACCGTTTTAGGACCTGATTTTTGGGGTTTAGTCGATAAACGATGGCATATGTGCTCGAAAGGTAAAATACAATCTCCGATCAATATCGATCCATCAGCTTTATTGTATGATCCGAATCTGCGTGAATTTCACATCGATAAAAAATCTGTAAATTTTTTCTTCGTGAAAAAAATTTGCAAAATTTTTGTTTGCAAAAACAAAATGTTTGCAAAATTTATTCAGACGGGAAATTCGCTACAGAATAGTTCCTCATATTTATCATTGCCACTGATTTTAATGTGAAAATTCTGAATAGAGAATAAAATTCTATTTGTCAAATGGTAGAAATTTTCAGTAAACTGTTTGTCGATCATTCAAAGTGCACTAAATTGCGATTTTCGTTGAAATAATAACATAGAAGATGTTTCAGAAAATAGTTTTTTCAATTATTAAGTATAAGTTTTAATGAGAATCGCTGAGGAACAAATAAAAATAAAAAAAGTTTTAAGATTGGTTTCGTCACTTCTTTATTTTTTAAATAATGATAATACTTTTAAAATTTCATTCCATAGATTTCACTATAATTTTACTTTGTGAAAATATAAAATTAAGATTTAAATCGATACGACTGTATGAAAACTTATAAAATCGTTAGGCCAGAAATATCAGTATACATTAGTTTGCAAAATATTAGTTGGCCGCAACAAAATTAATTTCGAAATTCGTTATTCGAAATGTTTTCATATTTTCAGGTGCTCTCCGAAATCATTAACATGGGTCAAATGCCCCGCATTCGAATTGTAAATTCAGCGCGTTGGCCAAGTGTTAATATATCTGGGGGGCCGTTAACTCCCTATAATTATCGATTGCGTCGTATGGATATCCATTTTGGAAGGAATTCTGAAAAGGGATCTGAGCATTCGATTGACATGCAAAAATTTCCGATGGAAGTAAAATTAGAAACTTCAATATTTAAATGAATCTAGATTTTTCATTTCTTCTATCGTAAAGCGTAGGATATTTGATTTACGAAGTGATAAGTTAAATCGGCTTTCTTGCTAGCAATCGATGAAGGATGTTTACTTAGTTTTCCTCGATTCTTAATACTGAAAAACCAATCATTTGTTTTGTCCTCGCTTATTAGAAATATAAGCAAAACTCATTATTCCACACCTTTTGCTTATTTCTTGCTTAATTTAGATTTCATTTGTCTCAGATTTTTTAAAATTACCATAATTTTTACAGTTTTCATTCAATTCGCTTTAAACAGTTTTTCTTATCATTTCCAATCTTCTTATCTTATAAATCTTACAAAATTTTATTTATTTTGCAGTTTTTGTAATTTTTTCAACCACAGTTACAATAAAATTTATATTTTTATATTTTATTCAAAGTCGTTTTAAATTCTTTTGAAAAAATATTTTTCAACAACGAAAATTAATTTGATTTTGTTATATACCCAGCAAGATTTGTTCTAAACATTGTGATTTATTATTTTCTTTAAATCAAATTTTTTATCGACAGGTGAAAACATTTTTTATATTTTAGGATTGAAATTCATCAAAATAGAATCGGAATTCCTTTTTTTCCGATAAGTCATATAGAGAATTAATTATGGGAGCCTATGAATTGTAGACTGCTAAACCTAATAATGAATGCAGAAAAAATTGCCTTTTTGTAGCAACGATATTTTTTTCACCTATTTTTGAAAATGACATGCAAGATAGTATAATTATAAATCGAAAATTATTCTGAGATGTGCTTACAATGACTTACTTTAGATTTACTTCAGACATAGTTGTTAATTAGTGATCAAAAAATTACACTTTTGCTGTTTTTTTATTCGAATAAATCGGTCGCCTATCTAACTGCATTCAAAAAACTAAAAACTGAAAGAATAATCCTCAAATTAATGTGATTTCAAACGTCTAATAAAAGCAATAAGATCTGAAAGTATGATGAAAAGATGACTAATTAGAACATAAAATGTTTGTGCTAAAAACTGGTTTTAGTTTCGAATTTATCTTTTATTTTGCTGATAGTTTTGTTTATGATTTCTGGCTAGAATAGTTCCACTGATCTTTTCAATAGTCCTTTTCAATAGAGAGGTCATTTGTGGATAGAAGGTGTCCCAAGCATCATCCTGTTTTATTTTCAATAACGAAATTACTTCTATTACGAATCGATTGGAGGGTAGTTGAACCTATGATAGTTGCACCTTAGTTGAGGTGTTACATGGCCATATTTTTAATTTATAGATGCCGAATTTATGGAGATCCTCCATTATTCAAATCATATCACTTAATTGTTTGATCGAAAAATTATATCTTCTAGAATATCGCTTATATATTTATTAATTAGGAATTATTTATTTTCATTAATAAAGATAGTTTCATTTTATCATTAAAATTTAAAGGATATTCAAAGAAAATTTTCATGCGAAAACTTAGGTTTAACTTCAAAATACTAAATTACTTCGTTTTTCCCACAAAATTCTTAAGCTTGCTAGAAAATATTAAAATATTTCATTGGCATTGGCATTTTAAGTTCAAAAATAATTTTTTTTTGCTAAAGAATTGCCTAAGTCTGAATGAAATTAATTTTATTCATATTTTACGACTATTTTAACAAGTAATTATTTAGAACTTATTAATATTTGCTAATATTTCAAAATAGACTTAGAAAAAAATTTTTAAAAACTTAAGAGAATTATTCGAATAATTCGAAAAAATCATACTTTTTCTTCCAAAATTATTTTAATTTAACCCAAAATTTCATGGAATAAATTAAATTCTGTTTGCTTTTGCTTATTATCACCATATTGCCTTAATATTTTGCCTCAGCACAATCGTATTGCAATTGCTCAGTTTGGTTTTCTTTTAAAATATAAAATAAGCAAGCTTCTAAATTTTTAAAAATAGTATAAATTATTTATGATTATAAGTATTTTGACAATATAAATTCATTCATTCTTTTTACATGCTTAAACTGCTTTTTTCAGATACAAATGATTGCTTATAATAGTGATCTCCATCAGAATTTCACTACTGCAACCACATCGCCACATGGTTTAGCAGCTATTTCAGTCTTTGTCCAGGTTAAATTTTAATTTCTTTAATTAATGAATTAAGCTAATTTGACAAGATTTTTCGAATTGTTTTCTTTAATCTGAAGGATTCTTAATAATCCACTCGTACTACCGCCAAGTGATTCCTGTAAAAATTTTTAACTGTTAACTGTTAGCGTAGCAAACCTAAATGATAAGCACCCACTGTTTGCATTTTTTTACTTATCTGAGTTCACAAGTATTGAAACATAGAAATTTTTTTAAATTTATCGCATTTTATTCCATTTTATTTTCTTTTTTTCTTAAATAAATATATATACAAGTTAAATATAAAAAATATGCAATGTAAAATATTCATAAATGATTTATTAGCTTATAAGTTCCCAATCATTAATTATTAAATGATATAAGATTTGGGTCCTTCTTCTTTGGATAATTTATTATTTTCCTATTTTTAAATTTGTTGAAAGCTTGCAAAAACCCACCATTGATTATATGTCAAACTATACGGTTCAGATTCATTAAGATTCGTTCAAGATTCATTGGTGAGTTAAATAGGGATTTATACTTAAAAGGTCTTCTAAATTGTATGAAATTCTATAATTTCTCTTTAAATTTAGATAAAATAAGGTAATAAATAAACTAAGATTTTATTTTCAAAATTTCCATTGATTATAAAGTCTCGATTACTGCAGATTGGCGAAGAAACAAATGAAGAACTATCGAAAATGACTGCCGCAACCAAAAGTATTGAATTCAGACGTAAGTTTATGATGAGAAGAATTAAAAAATATAGTATCTGTTCTATTATTTTGAGGATAATAATGATAGAAAAATTTTCTTACCCAAGTTATTTCGTTACAGGTAAACGTGTCTCAATTCAAGAACTAAGGCCATGGAACCTTTTACCAAAAAATCTGGAATATGTGACATATGAGGGATCATTAACATCTCCTGGTTGCCATGAAACTGTTACATGGATTATTATTAATTATCCTTTGTATATTAATAAATCTGACGTTAGTTTTTGCATGAATTTTAGTTTGAATTTTAAAGGTAGCCGTATTTTAATCCAAATAATTCTCTGGAGAAGTTCTAATAGTCAGTGCAGCAAAAAAACAAAAAAAAATGGTGAGTTCTATGAAAAAAATATTTTTTTCTTACACTTATAACTGAATATAATTAGGATGGTAAATAGTTATTTGGGAATGAACAGCCAAATGGTACTTGATAAAATTGATGAGAAAATCGAAAATTTCCGATCCATTCTCCTTTATTTTTTGCGCCTTATATGAAACTTTTAGTTGAAAAATTGGTCAATGCTTCAGCAAACTTCATCTCAGCAGGATGAACCTCGCTATATGGCTCCAAATTTTAGACCTTTGCGTGAATCTCGTGGGCGTATTATTCGAACAAATATAAGACATCGATTTAAGGTTGTTTTATTTTGAACTAATATGACCCCATATTACGATAAATTCAACAACCATATTAACATCAATAATCAAATATTTTTCTATTTTATGTTTTCAACAGAAAATATCCTTCGAAGCTTAAGGTAACTACTGCATTCATTTATATATATTTATTGCCAAGAGTTCCAAGTGTCATAGGTTCGATTCTCCCCTCAACGATAGTAATCTGACAGAGAAATTTGCATGACACTGAAGTCCCATTTGTTCATAATAAGAAGAAATAAGGTAGAAAATAATCAGCTAACGAATTAATTGGCAGGAAAGATCTTGCAACAAAGAAGAGAAAAAAAGTGAAGT